ACTGACCGCTTACTCTCTCCCGGTTTTTGGGAATATATTTAATCGATCAATTTTAAAGGCTTAATTTAAACTATGTTGTCTGGCTTCTACATTTAATCACAGTTTTGCTGGTAGAAAACGGAGCTACTCACTACCCATGTGTCCTATCGGTACGCACATCGCCACGTCAAATCAGAGATATTCAATGTCTGATTTGTTATTGTTACCCATCTACCAATCACTGCCCTTCTTTATGCGGCTTTCAAAAAGCTGCCTGGTCTTTGTAGTTGAATCTATGCTTGAAATACAATACTTGACTAAGGGACCTTACAGATCTATGCATGGGGGACTGAGGAAGGGTTAGTCATTCAAAAATCATGTCAACCCTTATTATTTCACAGTGTGAGTCCATGTAAATTATTAAGTGATTTGTTAAGCTAATTTTACTCCTGAACTAAGTTAGGCTTGCCTAAACAAAGGGGCTGAGTACTTATGCAACAACTATATTTTAGTTATGATTTTTTTTATTTAACAAAGAAATAAAATGTCTTGTGTAGACAAAAAACTTTGTAACACAAGATGTGAAGAAATCCAAAGGGTCTTAATACTTTTGCAAGGCACTGTATGTGTGTGTGTGCACGCATGTGTGCGACTAGTTTAGTGGTGAAGGACCTTGGTAATCTGTCAAACTGCTTTGTCTAGGGCGGCTGGTGTGAAACTTGGCAAGAGTTTCGGAGCGAGAAAGAGCGAAAGGAGGAGAGAGAGAGCGAGAGCGAGAGAGGGAGGGAAAGAAATAACGAGTGTGAGAGGCTTTTTCCTTTGTTAACAAACACGGGAGCCATGTTTATGCATACACAGGACACACATGCATACACACAGACACACGGGGCAACGTGAAATAATTCACGGTTGAGATAACCTAAAAGCTGTCGTCTCATGTTTATTGCCAATGACCAGATTGCACAGCAGACAGGTGTTTTCCCTGATTAGATACTGTGCCTTTTCAAACTACATCTAAAGAGCAACTCATTAGGTTTTAATAAAGACACAGGTACTATCATATAGTTATGTTCCTGCACTGCAGTACACACTTTGTGAACAATATTTTCAGTAATCTTCTAAATCCCAATTGTTAGTTTCACCTGCCTACAAAACAACAAAATTGATTGACTGGCTCTAAATTATATATAAATTCAATGATTTAATTCCAGAGCATTGTAATTGCTACTACTCATCCCTGTACACAAAACTCATCCCTGCCCCATGCGGTGCCTTCCTCAGCCCAGACACATGGAACAGGTAGCGCTATAAACATGAACACTGTCCTCCTTATTCCTAACCCAAACACATTACACTACACTCCAAAAGGCCAAGCAACAGAAATCCTCCTCAGCTACTGCAGATCCATCAGTCAGTTCACTGTCTGCCCCAACCCAGAGAGAGAGAGAGAGAGAGAGAGACAGGGAGAGAGAGAGAGAGAGAGAGAGAGAGAGAGAGAAAGAGAGCGAAAGAGAGGAGAGAGCGAGAGAGAGAGAGCGAAAGAGAGGAGAGCGCGAGAGAGAGCGAGAGAGAGAGAGAGAGAGCGAGAGAGAGAGAGAGAGAGCGAGAGAAAGGAGGGAACGTGACGGTCCGCGTGACGCTGGCTCAGACACTGCAGGCGGTTACGTAAGTGCACCCCCTGCCCCTTCTCCTCATGGACTGAGCAGACGCCGCTCTCCTCCAATCCCTCGCCCTGCAGCCGCAGCCCGCTTTTTTCCCTCTGCTCACATGGCTCTTCACATGCTACCTTCCTCGCTCTCTCGTTTTCTCCCTCTCTCTCTCTCTTTTCCACTTGCTCGTTCTCCACCTCTCCACCTCCCACTCACTGCGCCCCAGGGGATCTCGCTTTTCTCTTTCTCTCTTTGTCTTGCACGCTCCTGTGGAGTGAGACAGCAGCTCCACACTCAGGGCAACAGGGACATTACACACACAGACAGAGAGAATGCCACAAATACACACTCAAGCACACACTCAGAACACACGCTTGCACACACACACACACACACACACACACACACACACTCTTAGGCTTTTTAAACATACCAATATGTTTTTGCACTTGTAAATGTCACAGTGCTTTTGACTGCATCATTTACTCTGTGAATAATATCACATCAGAGTACAACCTCTGGCGTAGTCACCTGTGTATTTGAGTATGATACTGATTAACATTTAGCAACATGACATGATCTCAATACTATTGCCAGCGCTATTCTCCAAAAGGCATATTAAGACAGCACTACTTTTACTGTGTGTAAACTCTTCAATGTCTCATCTCCCGATCATCCTCTACTAAAACTTGCAGCAGACAGGCTTCACTTTACCCTCCAGAGGTGACCACCAACCCAGGAATAACTTTCTCTCAACACCCCCTCCCTACTTCACGGGCCCATGGTGGAGAGAGCGAGTGAGAGAGGAGCACTCCTGCACCCCCGCTCCCTGCAGTATTGATTTGTTTGTTCAGAGTTTGCCCACGGCCATCCCCTCCCCCCTCCCTCCCTTAATCCATCACTTTCTCCCTCGCAGTGTGAGCTTGTCCTCGAGTGGCTGCCTTATATAACAGCATGGAGCGGCCCACAGAATACTGATGAGAAGTCTGGGCTCAGGACCCACACATACAGAGAGACAGAGAGAAACAGAGGAGACTACAGCACTGTGGGCTACTGCAAGACCTGATCTGAGTGCAGCCCACCCGCTCCATCATGGCAGTGCAATATGAACCAACCAACCCTGCTTCATCTTAAAGAGGAACAAAAAAAAAATATGTTCTAGTTAAAAACAGCCTCTGTGGCATCAATAGTAGTCTTAAACATCAATTATAGTGTCAAAATTGACTAAAAAGTGTAAAAAACATAAAACTTTATTGAACACTGAGTCTCAAATAGCCACCTGTCCCTTTTAATAGCCAGGCAATGACACAAATTTCAGCAAATAAACGCCTGTTTGAAATATACGCCGGGTCTAAATGAATTGTTTACGAGGTTACCATGAATTACCATGAATTGTTTACGAGGTTTAACGTTTGATTTCTTACATTAAATAATTCAGTAATGACTTGAAAAAATGATGGCAATCATCCATTTTTAATCGCCAGTTAGAAACTGCTAGCCATTGGCTGTTAACAGCTGAAAACTGCTAGCTAACTGGCAAGCACAAAAACAGTCATCAACTTCAGGAGTACAGACCCCAGATATTGGCAGATCGCCCTCTAGTGGCAAAAGTAAGATCTGCCGAAAATGCACAGTCAAAAGCGACAATCGTTATTGTCAAGAAAACGTTTTTGATTTTTTCATAGGGGCATACTACGACAAAATATACGTGACAGTGTGTAAATGATAACACAGAGCAGGAAATGAAGAAATGTATTAAAATGCTGGAAGTGAATGCTGGAACAATTAACTATGCAAATGAGAAAAAGCTGTGTGCATTAAGGAAATAGACACTTGGCTTAAATAGAAGCCTGTCTCTAATAAGCGCCTGTTGTGTTCAGTGAGTTAAGCAAATAAATGCCCGGGCTATTAATTGTTTTACGGTAGGATAACTTTGGTCATATAAAGGTAGTATCTTCCAAAACTGAGATTTTTGAGATTTAGGAAATTAATGACGTTCCTAAATCCTTGGATATTTGAGGGATGGGTTTTGATTTCAGTCATGCCCACTAACATGGAATAGTAACGCCTAGGGAGAATTGGCATTAAATAATGAAAGGGTAAACGGAGAAACAGCTGCGCTGAGTGCGCTCTATCCAATCGTAGCAACAGAATCAACCTACAGCCCACCCATTTCTTTACAGAACTACCCAATTGAGTCATTATCATGCATCGCCTCGGGACTTGCGATTGAAAAATAGCTACCCTACAATACATTGTTGCCTATGTCAAGTTGAATGAACAAGACTTGTTCTTTATGCCTTGAGCAAGGCATTTAACCCTAATTTGTTCCAGGGGCGCCGTACTACTATGGCTGACCCTGTAAACAACATTTCCTGCACCTATCCGGTGTATGTGACAATAAAAACATCTTCTGACAATTAAATTAACAGCTTGGTTTTTTCACTTTGTGAGCTAACGTTACAATTAGGACTGGCATGGTAATTTTATAAACGTGTAACCGACGAATATGGATGAAGACCGTCACGAAAATAAAGTAACAGTCATAACCAAATATTTTTTTGTTATAGAAATGTTTTATGAACTTCATTTTCAAGTTGACAAACTTTATCCAAAAGCAGTAAAGTGAAAGTAAGCCTGGTTCATAACTAAAAGACGATATAAAGACAGACGAAACTAGCCAGTTTCAGAATTTAGTGTTGTGGAACAAACAGCTCACTGAAGACGGCTCACTGAAGACGGCTGCAGCCGACATGGACTGTGGTAACATGGACTCTTTACAACGTGATGAAACTTTGTTGCTCCTTGCTTCAGCAAGGTTTTGTAGTAAATGAGTATCATTAGATACATGCACCCAATGGCTTACCAAAAATAGGACACACTGAGACAGTCAGGAGCAGAGGAGAGGAGAAAACGTGCAACCTTTTTTGTTTTGCTATTCAAATGATTATAACGTTGACCATGGTCATTTGACTGTCATTCAAAACTGTCACAGCCCTAGTTAGCATCACAAACACAAGTGTCATTCCTTTAGCCAAAGTACGTGGCTATTTGGGATATTTCAACGACAGTAAATGAAGAGGAACACAAAATGGTAGGCTATAGTGAACATAACACACCCACATCAAATGCATTGAACGAACCAAGACAACTCTTGTTTGCCTCAGTCATGGCTAGCATTTCTGCTATAATTTCTTAATGAGGAGGTGGAAAAAATCAAAAAAAATCAGTGAGTTCAGCCCCCCTTTAAATTTGCTTTCACCTGTAACTGCAGCCAAATAGTGTGGTTGATAACAACCAACAGTATACAGTGCTTTGTATCGTGGCCTTGGGTATTGATACAGTATCATAGTGATGTTCTGTACATCGCTATATCAAAAAGACCCTGTATATAACAAACTCTTGTCTAACCATGTCTGGTTCAGTACTCACAGGCTCATCAAAGGCCTCCTTCTTGTCCAGCATCTCTCTGAGTGTCTGCAGGATCTTAATGCACAGTTTTTCCTCTTTGTCCATCAGCTTCTTGGTGTGTTTGATCAGTCTGAATGACAAGGGGAGAGGTACAGGCGGAAGATCAGTATCATGGCTTCAAGTCATCTAAACACACCAACAGACCTGTGTGACCTATGACTTGAAGATCCTGAATAACACAAAATAATAAATTAGAACATTTCTTTTCGGAAACATTTTGGAGAAGTCACAGTTAGATAGTCTAAAGTAAAACACAAACCAGAACAATGGTAGGTCAAATGCAAACTTTGCACTGGTCTAAATGCTCTGTAAATGCAGCCCATAGATAGTGTATCTGTGATCAGTGTCTGTGACTGCATCTGTGCCTCTGCCACACTCACTTGGACATGAAGGCTCCACTCTCACAGCGCAGTCTGGCAGCCTCTGGGAACAGCAGCTCAGGGCTGTGTAGTACATCCACCAACACAGAGAACTCAGCCTGCACCTTAGGACTGAACTGCTCCTCTAGACACGCCACTACACCCTGGACACAACACAATTTAGACAATATAATACTCTCTGCAGTATAGTGTGTGTGTGTGCACGTGTGTGTATGCATATTTGTGTGTGTCATCACCTGCAGCTTCTCGATGATGCTCTTGTAGTCGGGCCCTCCTAGGGTCTCCTTTCGGGGCCGGGTGCGTGCTGAGATCCTCCAGTCCTTGGCGGCACGATGCACCACGTTGGTGTGTGCCTTCAGAGACAGAGTGTTCACCTGGCTGTCCAGATCCACTGGGATGGCTATGGCACGCGCCTTGGCTGGAGAGAAGACGAGGGAGACTTTATACATGGCCATACTCGTATTAGTAGTTGTATCCGTAAGTTGACAGTTGATAGTTCGATCGGATGATACTCGTGATCAGAAAAAACGGAAGTGTTTTAATATGCCTAAATAGATGTTGGCAAAATACCTCCCTGCACGTTCTCACTGCAAAAATGCTGCAGATTAGGAGCAGCATGCGGAGAAGTGGGTGTGTCCTCAACTTGCAGCGGGTAGCAAAGTTTGCTGTCACTCAGTCAGAATGCGCATTAGCTTTTCATATTACTTTCCCTAACCTTGCCCCACTTGTTAGGCACATTGATGCTTGATAGGAAACGTCCTCACCATGTGATTTATCACTCTATCCAATCAGAGCAGCAGGATCAATGTACATCCCGGCCTTCTCTTTACAGACAGGCAAACTAGCAAGTTGAGTTATTTAGACCACAAACATTACTGACTCACAGACAGTACAGAAAACTTTGTTTAGAAACTTTGTGACTGACTGACATGAGAAAGATGCTTGCTGGCACCCGAAAATAACTTTTTTTTCCAATCACGCATCATTTCAAAATATACTCGGATCATAATTGTATCAAGAAAATTACCCATATCCATAACGATACTAGTTTTGTCCGACTACTACACCCCTACTTTATAACTAGGAACTGAGGGAGCCTCAAAGTAGGAGTGCTGATATAGGATCAGTTTAGCCTTGTAGATCATATTGAATACTCTGAGACACTTTATGAATACTGGCCCAGATATATTCCAGACACAGACATTCACATAAGCTGACATGACACCCAATCAACCAACAGAGAACTACTTTCTGCAAATATTGTCTGCATACAGTGGTGGCAGACTAACAGGGTTTATTGGATGAGACTCAAAAGACTTGCAATGTCTACCTGTCATAACAATCACCAGCCTTTCCAGTTTACCAACCTTGGTCAAGGCCTGTCAAAGTGCAATTATTTGGCTGTGAGACTCACCCACGTCAGCCAGTGTTTTGATGCAGCCCTCGATGTTGTTCTTCTGGGCCGAGCTGATCCAGGTGCAGTTATAGATCCTGAAGGAAGACTGGAGCAGCTGGATGAAGATGGGCTGGTGGGTCTGACATAGGAGAGAGGAAGGAGAGAGGGATGATAGGAGAGGATAAACTTCAATAACACTCAAAATGTTGTGCCAACCACAAGATGGATAAGCATTTGCCTGAAGTACCTGAACTGACTGAATTGAAATGGAATTGACCCCAACTCTGGTCCACTGTCCTCTACTCTAAGTCCAACATTTGGAAGTGACCTGGGGAAGGTATTTAAATGCCCATGTACAAGGTTAACCTCTCTCCCAGCCGTACCTGCAGGTTGGAGTTGTTGACAGGGAACTGGGAGCTGAAGAAGCCCTTCACGATGGCCACCACAGTCTCAGTCACATACCTTTCCAGGGGAACGTCGGCATGGTTACGGTCCGTGGTGCTGTTGCACACCTAAAAACAGAGGAGGAGAGGGGGATGTGAAGTCTGTCACTCAGGAGTGAGGGGGGAGAGACTTACCTGGGGTATATCTCAATAGTCAAAATGACTTTTATTCTACAATTAACTGGACTGGGGAAAAGCCCATTCATTGAAAGGACCCACCATGTTGTTTCACTTATATTTTGTGTTTAGATCAGTGCAGATGAGGGAGAGGACACAAGGAAACAGAGAAAAGGGAACCTGTTTTGGACTATTGCGACACATTCCTGTGAGGAGGACCTTAGTGAGGACATTACCCGTGCCATGTCCACCAGGAAGTTCTCAAAGAGCTTCCAGATGTGGTGGCTGGTGTAGATCTCCTTCATCTCCACCTCCGTGTCCACGTAGCAGTGGTTCACAAAGTTCACGTAGGCCGTCTTCACCTGGGGAGGGAGGGCCAATAGAAACCATGCATCCAGATGTCACAGGTGTGAGCAATTACACTGAGGTGAATGAATGCTAGGCTATATCAAGGCTGGCTGTTCTGGAATTACAATTGTTAAGCAAACATCTGACCACTCACTGTATGCAAACAAAATAGGTGCATGTCAATTGTCTATAATGGAATACTCTCCTGCTTTACTCTGTATCCTCAGATCAGTACAGAGGAAGTTGAATACAAGGATATGAAATCAAAGACTACTGAAACAAACCCCAGCACCCACTGACACGCAGCCTCTCAACATGACCCCATCCCCTCCCCCGTACCTCAGCGATGCAGTCATCGTGGGTGACCACCTTGACGATGTCATCCAGGGGCAGCAGGGAGTTACATTTCAGCTCGGTGTAAACGTTTTTGCCCTCGGTGCAGGCGGCGAGGAGCTCTACCAGGGTGTTGTGGTAGGCCAAGGCTCCGCCCTCGTCCCCACGCTCCCGCTCGCAGCACATCATCTGGAACAGCACTGGGAAGGAGGAGCGGTCATTGTAGAACACCAGCACGTCCTCGCCACCGTTCACCAGCTGGGGGTGGGGTGGACAGAAAGGGAGACAGACAGACGAGTGGAGGTTAGAGAGGGAATACCTTATTACTTGTGGGGGGCACCAATATTGATCATTCTATTTGATTTGATTTTTTTATTTCACCTTTATTTAACCAGGTAAGCCAGTTGAGAACAAGTTCTCATTTACAACTGCGACCTGGCCAAGATAAATCAAAGCAGTGCGATAAAAACAACAACAACACAGAGTTACATATGGAATAAACAAAACGTACAGTCAATAACACAATAGAAAATCTATATACAGTGTGTGCAAATGTAGTAAGTTATGGAGGTAAGGCAATAAATAGGCCATAGTGCAAAATAATTACAATTATAATTTAGTATTAACACTGGAGTGATGGATGTGCAGAAGATGATGTGCAAATAGAGATACTGGGGTGCAAATGAGCAAAATAAATAAAAATGTAAATAACAATATGGGGATGAGGTACAGATGGGCTGTGTACAGGTGCAGTGATCGGTAAGCTGCTCTGACAACTGATGCTTAAAGTTAGTGAGGGAGATAAGTGTCTCCAGCTTCAGAGATTTTTGCAGTTCGTCATTTGCAGCAGAGAACTGGAAGGAATGGCGACCAAAGGAGGTGTTGGCTTTGGGGATGACCAGTGAGATATACCTGCTGGAACGCATACTACGGGTGGGTGTTGCTATGGTGACCAATGAGCTAAGATAAGGCAGGGATTTGCCTAGAAGGGATTTATAGATGACCTGGAACCAGTGGGTTTGGCGACAAATATGTAGTGAGGGCCAGCCAACGAGAGCGTACAGGTCACAATGGTGGGTAGTATATGGGGCTTTGGTGACAAAACGGATGGCACTGTGATGGACTACATCCAATTTGCAGAGTAGAGTGTTGGAAGCTATTTTGTAAATGACATCGCCGAAGTCAAGGATCGGTAGGATAGTCAGTTTTACGAGGGCATGTTTAGTAGCATGAGTGAAGGTGGCTTTGTTGCGAAATAGGAATCCGATTCTAGATTTAACTTTGGATTGGAGATGCGAGTCTGGAAGGAGAGTTTACAGTCTAACCAGACACCTAGGTATTTGTAGTTGTCCACATATTCTAAGTCAGAGCCGCCGAGAGTAGTGATTCTAGTCGGGCAGGCGGGTGCAAGCAGCGTTCGATTGAAGAGCATGCATTTAGTTTTACTACTGTTTAAGAGCAGTTGGAGGCCACGGAAGGAGTGTTGTATGGCATTGAAGCTCGTTTGGAGGTTTGTTAACACAGTGTCCAATGAAGGGCCAGATGTATACAAAATGGTGTTGTCTGCATAGAGGTGGATCTGAGAGTCACCAGCAGCAAGAGCGACATCATTGATATACACAGAGAATAGAGTCGGCCCGAGAATTGAACCCTGTGGCACCCCCATAGAGACTGCCAGAGGTCCAGACAACAGGCCCTCCGATTTGACACATTGAACTCTATCTGAGAAGTAGTTGGTGAACCAGGCAAGGCAGTCATTTGAGAAACCAAGGCTATTTAGTCTGCCAATAAGAATAAGGTGATTGACAGAGTCAAAAGCCTTGGCCAGGTCAATGAAGACGGCTGCACAGTACTGTCTTTTATCAATCGCGGTTATTATATCGTTTAGGACCTTGAGCGTGGCTGAGGTACACCCATGACCAGCTCGGAAACAAGATTGCATAGCGGAGAAGGTACGGTGGGATTCTAAATGGATGGTGATCTGTTTGTTAACTTGGCTTTCAAATACTTTCGAAAGGCAAGGCAGGATGGATATAGGTCTGTAACAGTTTGGATCTAGAGTGTCACCCCCTTTGAAGAGGGGGATGACCGCGGCAGCTTTCCAATCTCTGGGGATCTCAGACGATACGAAAGAGGTTGAACAGGCTGGTGATAGGGGTTGCGACAATTTCGGCGGCTAATTTTAGAAAGAAAGGGTCCAGATTGTCTAGCCCAGCTGATTTGTATGGGGTCCAGATTGTCTAGCCCAGCTGATTTGTAGGGGTCCAGATTTTGCAGCTCTTTCAGAACATCAGCTATCTGAATTTGGGTGAAGCGGAGGGTGCATAGCTGGTGGTCGGGGTAGGGGTAGCCAGGTGGAAAGCATGACCAGCCGTAGCAAAATGCTTGTTGAAAAGTTCGATTATCGTAGATTTATCGGTAGTGACAGTGTTTCCTAGCCTCAGTGCAGTGCGCAGCTGGGAGGAGGTGCTCTTCTTCTCAATGGACTTTACAGTGTCCCAAAACGTTTTGTAGTTAGTGCTACAGGATGCAAATTTCTGTTTGAAAAAGTTAGCCTTTGCTTTCCTAACTGATTGTGTTGGTTCCTGACTTCCCTGAAAAGTTGCATATCGCGGGGGCTGTTTGATGCTAATGTCGTATGCCATAGGATGTTTTTGTGCTGGTCAAGGGCAGTCAAGTCTGGGGTGAACCAGGGGCTATATCTGTTCTTAGTTCAGAATGTTTTGAATGGGGCATGCTTATTTAAGATGAGGAAAGCACTTTTAAAGAACAACCAGGCATCCTCTACTGACGGAATGAGGTCAATATCCATCCAGGATACCCGGGCCAGGTTAATTAGAAAGGCCTGTTTCACAGTGATGAGGGGTGGTCGTTTGACCGCGGACCCATTACGGACGCAGGCAATGAGGCAGTGATCGCTGAGATCCTGGTTGAAGACAGTGGAGGTATATTTAGAGGGTAAATTAGTCAGGATGATATCTATGAGGGTGCCCATGTTTACGGATTTAGGGTTATACCTGGTAGGTTCCTTGATAATTTGTGTGAGATTGAGGGCATCTAGTTTAGATTGTAGGACGGCCGGGGTGTTAAGCATATCCCAGTTTAGGTCACCAAGCAATACGATCTCTGAGGATAGATGGGGTCAATCAATTCACATATGGTGTTCAGGGTACAGCTGGGGGCTGAGGGGGGTCTGTAGCAAGCGGCAACAGTGAGAGACTTATTTCTGAAAAGGTGCATTTTTAGAAGTAGAAGCTCAAACTGTTTGGGCACAGACCTGGATAGTATGATAGAGCTCTGCAGGCTCTCTCTACAGTAGATTGCAACTCCGCCCCCTTTGGCAGTTCTATCTAGATGGAAAATGTTGTAGTTGGGAATGGACATTTCAGGATCTTTGGTGGCCTTCCTAAGCCAGGATTCAGACACTGCTAGAACATCAGTGTTGGCTGAGTGTGCTAACGCAGTGAGTAACTCAAACTTAGGGAGGATGCTTTTGATGTTAACATGCAAGAAACCAAGACTTTTGCGATTACAGAAGTCAACAAATGATAGTGCATGGGGAGCAGGAGTGATACTGGGGGCTACAGGGCCTGGGTTAACCTCTACATCACCAGAGGAACTGAGGAGGAGTAGAATAAGGATACGGCTAAAGGATTTAAGAACTGGTCTTCTAGTGCGTTGGGTACAGAGAAAACAAGGGGCCGATTTCCGGGCGTTGTAGAATAGATTCAGGGCATTATGTACAGACAAGGATATGGAAGGATATGAGTACAGTGGAGGTAAACCTAAGCGTTGGGTAAAGATGAAAGAAATAGCATCACTGGAGGCACCGATTGAGCCGGTCTCCGCGTGTGTGGGGGGTGGGACAAAGGATCTATCTGAGACAGGTTGAGCAGGACTGGGGGCTCTACATTGAAAAAGTACAGTTAGAACTAATCGAAACAGCAATAGCAATTGATATCAATATTGTTACGGATACAGGTATCCTGTGTCTTTTTGTGTTTTTCCTCTCCTTTTGCCCTAATCACAGGTGTCCTGTATGTTCCTGATTGGTGGTCGTTGGGGTGTCTGCTGATTGCTGAGGTGGACCAATCAGTGGACATTCCTCTGCACTGCACCACCTGTTTCTGGTTTTTCAATCACACATCCCATTGTTTAAAAGCCGGTCAGTTGTGTTTGTTGTTAGAGACTATTTCCGTATGTGAGTATGGATACTGTGGTGTCCTGTGTACTCACTAAGTTGCTGGTTACTCTGTTTGGTAACTTTGTTAGACTATATTCCGTTTGTGAGTATGGATACTGTGGTGTCCTGTGTACTCACTCATTTGCTGGTTACTCTGTTTGGTAACTTTGTGAGACTATTTCCGTATGTGAGTATGGATACTGTGGTGTTTTGTGTACTCACTAAGTTGCTGGTTACTCTGTTTGGTAACTTTGTTAGAGACTATTTTCCGTATGTGAGTATGGATACTGTGGTGTTTTGTGTACTCACTAATTTGCTGGTTACTCTGTTTGGTAACTTTGTTGTGTGTTTCTGGGAAAAGGGGAATTTAAGCAAGTTGCCCTTGGGCGTACATTACCCGTAGGAAGAAAACTGTCTAAAAACACTATTTAGACCTGAGTGGACCACCCACTGTATTTTTGTATGATTAGCAGTAGCTTAGCGGTTCTTGAGGCAGGCAAGATCAGTTTGGGAGGGTTTTACACTATTGTTTCATTTCTTGGGTCCTGTTCAGCCCTTTTTCCCAAACCTTTACCGTGTGTTCAAAAATAAACATTTTATGTTTGACGGTAGTTTATGGTTGTCGTGTAGTTTTTGTTCTCACTGTTCCATGTCACGATTCTAATTTGCATGAATTATGTTACGGGTCTCTTCTCCATCCACCCTAGACGTTTAAAGCCACGGGGTTCGTAACAAATATACAAAGATTTTACTGAGTTACAGTTCATAGAAGGAAATCAGTCAATTGAAATAAATTAATTAGGCCCTAATCTATGGATTTCACATGACTGGGAATACAGATTTACAGTACAGTACAACTGTTGGTCACAACACAGATGAAAAAATAAAGCTAGGGGCGTGGATCAGAAAACCAGTCTGTATCTGGTGACCACCATTTGCCTAATGCAGCGAGACACATCTCCTTCGAATAGAGTTGATCAGGCTGTTGATTGTGGCCTGTGGAATGTTCTCACAATCCTCTTCAATGGCTGTGCGAAGTTGCTGGATATTAGCGGGAACTGGAACACACTGTCGTACACGTCGATCCAGAGCATCCCAAACATGCTCAATGAGTGACATGTCTGGTGAGTACGCATGCCATTGAAGAACTGGGACATTTTCAGCTTCCAGGAATTGTGAACAGATCCTTGCGACATGGGGCCGTGCATTAGCATGCTGAAACATGAGGTGATGGCAGTGGATAAATGGCACAACAATTGGCATCAGGATCTCGTCACGGCATCTCTGTGCATTCAAATTGCCATCGATAAAATGCAATTGTGTTCGTTGTCCGTAGCTTATGTCTTCCCATACCGTAACTCCACCGCCACAATGGGAACATTTCTGGGATCTTTTATTTCAGCTCATGAAACATCGGACCAACACAAAGACAAATAGTCCGGGTGGCCATTTTATGAATTGTTCAGCAGTCTTATGGCTTGGGGGTAGAAGCTGTTAAGGAGCCTTTTGGACCAAGACATGGTGCTCCCGTACCGCTTGCCGTGCGGTAGCAGAGAGAACAGTCTATGACTTGGGTGACTGGAGTCTCTGACACCGCCTAGTATATAGGTCCTGGATGGCAGGAATATTGGCCCCAGTGATGTACTGGGAGTAAACCGTGATATTGGTTTACTCTTCCTCTTAACCTAAACTGAGATGTAAAATGCGATGACTTCCTGTAACGCCCTCAACCAAGATTCCGACCACTGTCAATGGGAGGCAAATTCATCCACAAGGTATTTTCAGAAAGTAGTCACATTTTATTTATTTTTATTTGGGAAGGGATAGATCTTGCCTGGCTACCCAAACTCCTTGCTTCGGTCAAACGCTACGCCACGCCTACGAACATTAGTTTCTTCTCCACAATGAGTCGATCAGAGTACCTCCCCGACGATTTCTAGAATGGAAATCCATTCTAGACCGTCTGATTTGTCCCAGAAACCGAGGGGTTGGGCCAGAGCCAGAACACATGTGGGTAAAGCGACGTTTGAAAATTCGTTATTGGCTTTGATACTCTGATTGGTTAGAGATTAACTGCAGACCTCACCACAACACCGTCTTCAACGATGGCAGTCTCAGACTGAAGTATATAGCGAACATAGAGCAGCGGAAGAATTCAGTTTGAGTCTTCAGGCAAGGACAGATCAGCTATGAAACTTGATTACTCTATAAAATAACATTACTTGCCCTTTATATTATTTTTTGTAGTCACATTTTAAGTCTCTCGGTTTGAAACATCTCTAGCACTAGTAAGCCCTGTCTAGTCTAGAGATAGTGGTAGTGAAAACCATGCTATTGTGTTGTCTCCACAGCCATCCAAAGACAGCATCATCCTTCTCTCACCTCGGTCATGACCTTGTCCTGGCACTTCTTGACATACTTCCCGTCGGCCTTGACGATGGTCTGGAGGAACTTGAGGTACTGGACGTGTCGGCCGTGCGTCTCGATGCAGTGAACAAAATGGTGGACCACACGGTCACTGATATCGTTGCACAGGTAGAAGTTGTTCATGAAGATGTAGCGCATGGTCTCGGCCTCCAGGAGCTGGATAGCGGGAAAAGATGTGTACAGTGATTTCACATTTATTGACATATGGATATCTTGTAATAAAATGCATTTATTTTGTTGAATAATTGTTAAACATGTGGACAAACGTGTGTGCTGCTGCGTGTTTGTGTCCCGTGTATGTGCGTGGGCAAACATACACGCATGCATACATTGTGTGTTTGTGTGTATGCGTGTGCGTAGTGTGCCGTGAATGCATGTATGCGTCATGTGCATGCTTGTGTGTGTGTGTGTGTGTGTGTGTGTGTGTGTTTATGTGAGCATACCCCTGGTGTGAGGAACAGGTTGAGGTGTTTGTGGAGCAGAACCTGGTTCTGGCTGTTCCCTTTACAGAAGTTCTGCAGGAACACGTGGGCCAGTGTCATGATCTCATTCATCTTCTTATCACTCTGGGGAGAGACAGACAGACCGACAGAGCATGAGTCACAACACAGTTGTACAACTGCGTCACCACAAAATCAATCCATAAAGATGGTCAAACAAACCTACCAGGGCGGTGTTTATCTATCTCAGGGCTCTCCATCCTGGAGAGCTACCCTCCTGTAGGTTTTCACTTCAACCCTAGTCGTAACTAACCAGATTCAGCATATCAACTAGCTAATTATTAGATTTAGGTGCGCTAGATTAGGGTTGGAGCGGAAAACCTACAGTACCGTAGCTCTCCAGGAACAGAGTTGGAGCTAAATCTACAGGACGGTAGCTCTCCTGGAACATGGTTGGAGTTAAAACCTACATGACGGAAGTGCTCTAGGAACAGGGTTGGAGTGAAAACCTACAGGACAGTAGCTCTCCAGGAACAGGGTTAGAGAGCCCTGACCTATCTAGTCAAGCTTTATCCAGGTAAAGTCTGGTTATTGATAATGACAACATTCATGTCAGGCTTTGAGGGGCCTCACCTGAAGCACTTACTTTATAAGCCCATTTGGACTGGGTGAATGTGTGTGTTTGACACCTACTTCCACTTCTGAGTAAAACATCTAGAAATGTGATGATGTGCTCACCTTCTCATAAGGTATCTGGAGCAGGTCCAGCACCACAGTGTGAGCCCCCATGTTCTTCAGTAGCCTCTGCTGCTGCACACGACTCTTCTTACCGGGGTAACACTGCTTACTGAGCCGCAGCAGGATCTACTGACCACACACACACACACAGATCAGACACTAATACATGCATTTAATGGCTACATAGCAATAGGTCTAAACACACTTGCATTTTCAGATGCTATAATTTAGTGTTACTGGAGCTCATTCAATTCAATGGAACTTTATTTATCCCTTCAGGAGCAATTAAGAAAGGCAAGTCAGGTTACAAGTCAGGCAAGTCCAGCTCATGTTGGCCCACATAAAACATGCCCACATTGGCCAGTGATGTGAGGTCTGTAAATTGTTAGTGGGCAATCAATTATCCCAGCGTCATAGTGCATTTTCAAAGACTGCACTGACTGTAATTGATAATGCTGCTTATACCACACTAGGGTTGCAAAGTGAGGGTATATTACCGGAAACTTTCCAACACGAGTTAGTGAAAAAAAGATAAGAATTGTTCTGCTGTTTGAAGCTGGTATACAAAACAGAAAGTAAAAGACGCAAAAATTCAACTTAAGAACAGGAAGCATAGAAATGGTGCACATAGAACAGATCTGCCACGTCTTAGACTTGCTTTCAACGAGAATGACAGATCTATAACTAACATTTCTATGTGAATTTGGTCGTGGCGCCCAAAAAGTTACATATTGCAGCTTTATTATGAGGGTTTCAGCATGAAATGTGCTGTACATAATTTGTTTTACACACTAATTATTTTACTATGTCAATATGTCTTTGTTGTAAATGTTTTGGCACCAAACTGGTGGCAGTTGTGAAAAAAGTCAATAGGTTAGAAGAGATGCAGAGTTAATTGAAAATAATGCCATTGTTTATTAGATGCTTTTTTCATTCATTTGGGTATTTTCTCTTGAACCATATGGTATATCCACTAGAAACTCGTGGTCAATATGGACACAGATTTAAAAATTATATTCTATATATGAATACAATTTTATTAAGTTACTCCAGTATAAATTACCAAAGTTACCATTGATTACCTGTTAATTACCAAAACTACAGAAGAAGGTAAATTACCTATAACTTTGCAACCCTATACCACACACACACAGTACAAGGAGACAGAATAGCAGCCCACCTCTTTGACGATGTTGTAGTTGTTGGCTTTGTTGCTGTCTATCTGGGGCTTCACATCCCCACCCTGTACTGGGCTCAGGATTCCAGCCTCCTGTCAATCACACACAACACAAAAATACATTTAGATTTGAAGAAATTACTTGGATATCGAGTTAGGAATCAGCCCTCCCTCAGCCATTAGCCCTCTATGATGTGTGGCGACTGTGGCCTGTAGGGGGCATACTATACTGTAGTATAGTGTACCTCCATGGTTTGCTCCTTGCCCTGGCTGTCTCCTATGTCCTCACTGCCGTAGGCTCCACTCTTCTCCACCCACAGTTCAGACTTCTCCACCGTCAGCCTCAGCTGGTCCAGGTCTGTCTTGATCTGCTTGTAGTTCTCCACATCCTGCTCCGATACCAGCAACTGGACCTGCAAGGGACCACAGAAACACACACAGTGAGATCAGACACACACACACGCAATGAAACCACACACACACAGACAAAAACACACAGATCAGACACAACCGCACGCACACACACAAACAAAATGTGCTGTTACCTGTTTGAAGGCCTGTAGGACCTCTGCTCTCTGGCTGAAATGTTTGAACATGAGCTGCAGCGAGCCGGAGACCAGCGGGGGGTAGTCCTGCATGATGAGGTGGATCAGCACCCTCAGGAAGGTCCTGCCTCCTTCATCATCCAGCTCCACAGCACTACACTCTGAACTGGAAGCACCAGACACAAGGTTAGTGAGAGACATTGGAGACATACATAGTGTTTTGACAGACACTGGCACACTAGAGATGGGCATTTGAAATATTTTCACTATTCAAATAATATCATGACATCCGGATAGTTGAAACACTTTTTTTGTCAAACTTTATAACAACCTTTATTAGAAAGAACACTTGTTTGCTGCACGAATCAATAGAGACAGTGCTACTGCTGCTGCTGGGCAGGGGAATATTGGTAACTTTCTCTCTAATTTTGCACGCAGAAACTAGATGCCATGAGTAACTTGGACAAAAAAAGAATAGCCCCGATTGGCCAATAGGTGGCGCTGTTATAAACAGTCTCACTTAAACCCTTATATCTGTCGCCCCGTTTGACCTAGGGACTTGAAACGTTGTATGTAGGCGTCTTTCCTCATGCTGAACAAATTTGCCTTAAGGACCCATAAGGTCCATCAGGATAGATCAGGGTTCTTCAATTCCGGTCCTGGAGGGCCGAAACACCTCTGTTTTTCATCCTCTCCTTTTCAGACCTGTGACACCAGGTGAGTGCAATTAACTACCAGGTAGAAATAAAAAACAGAAGTGTTTCGGCCCTCCAGGACCGGAATTGAAGAACCCTGGGATAGATCTTGGACATTTTGGAAAAACTTTGACAAACGTATTCTTATTAACCATAAGTCCAAATAACACCAAATTGGTTAAGAGATGGCTAGGTTCTTGATAAATCAGGAAATCATATTTTACGTGTCCATTTAAATCCTTTTAAAATCCACTCCACAATGGCCTATCAACTTGAAATGTTTTAGAGTCATCAAATACATTATATTTGGCATTGATATCTTAAAAAATAAGGAAGTTATTAACAATTCACTTTTCTGACTATGTAACGCTAATGCTTAAAGGCCCAGTGCAGTCAAAAACGTGATTTTCCTGTGTTTTATATACACACACTTAGTGGCCAGTTTATTTAGGTACACCACCCCGTTCACGAAAATGGATCACTCCTACAGCAGTGAGTCACGTGGCCGTGGCTTGCTATATAAAGCAGGCAGACAGGCATCCACTTACTCTTAGATTGAATGTTAGAATGGGCAAAACAAGTGACCTAAGCGACTTTGAGCGTGGTATGATCGTCAGTGCCAGGCGCGCCGGTTCCAGTATCTCAGAAACTGCCGTCCTCCTAGGCTTCACGCACGACAATGTCTAAGGTTTACAGAGAATGCTGTGACAAACAAAAAACGTCAAGTAAGCAGCAGTCCTGTGGGTGAAAACAGCTAATTGATGAGAGGTCGAAGGAGAATGGCAAGAATCGTGCAAGCTAACAGGTGGGCCACAAACAGACAAATAGTACAGTACAACAGTGGTGTGCAGAATGGCATCTCAGAAAGCACAACTCGTCAATCCTTGTCACGGATGGGCTATTGCAGCAGATGACCACACTGGGTTCCACTCCTATTAGCTAAAAACAAGAAAAAGCGGTTCCAGTGGGCATGTGATCACCAACACTGGACAATTGAGGAGTGGAAAAACATTGCCAGGTCCGACGAATCCCGGTTCCTGTTGCGTCATGCTGGCAGAGTCAGGATTTGGTATAAGCAGCATGAGTCCATGGACCCATCCTGCCTGGTGTCAACAGTACAGGCTGGTGGTGGTGGTGTACTGGTGTGGGGAATGTTTTCATGACACATGTTAAGTCCCTTGATACCAATTGAGCAACGATTGAACGCCACAGCGTATCTGAACATGGTTGCTGACCAAACCCAATAGAGCATCTATGGGATGAGATGGAACGGGCTGTTCGCAGCATGAATGTACCGCCGTCCAATCTGCAGCAACTGCGTGATGCCATCGCATCAGCATGGACCAACATCCCTGTGGAATGTTTCCAATACCTTGTAGAATCCCATGCCCCGAAGAATTAAGGCTGTTCTGGAGGCAAAGCAGGGTCTGACCCAGTACTAGATGAGTGTACCTAATAAACTGTCAACTGAGTGTATATTTCCACACTATGAGGTTGGAATAATACTGTGAAATTGTTAAAATTATGATAATGCCCTTTAAGTGTAAGAGCCACTTGAAAAGACTGCCTGAAATTTCAGCCTGTTTTGGTGGGATGGAGTTTTGGCCTGCCTGGTGACATCACTAATAAGAGAGAGAGTTCCAAACCTCTCTGCCAATAACAGCTAGTTTTCAGTATTCCCCTCCCCCACTCAGACCACTCCCAGACGGTCCTTACAAAATTATTGTTTGAGAAATTGCGCTTTACTAAGAAGCTAATTTAGTTTATTTTTTAACATTTTAATTTAAAAACAAAAACAGTAAGTTACTTAATTGTTACCCAAAAATGATTTGATATTGAGATAAACACTGCTACATTGGACCATTAAAATAATCATAAAAATCTTCAAGGACTAAGTCAGATTCACTCCAAATTTGGTCTTTGAGAAAATTTGGTCAGAGGAAGGCCCTCAAAATTGTCAAAGACTCCAGCCACCCTATTCATAGACTGTTCTCTCTGCTACCGCACTGTAAGCGGTACTGGAGTGCCAAGTCTAGGTCCAAAAGGCTTCTCAACAGCTTCTACCCCCAAGTCATAAGACTCCTGAACAGCTAATCATGACTACCCGGACTAATTGCACTGCCCCCCCCACCCCCACCCCATCTTTTTACGCTGCTGCTACTCTGTTAATTATTTATGCATAGTCACTTTAACTCTACCCACATGTACATATTACAACTACCTCAACTAGCCGGTGCCCCCACACATTGACTCTACAACGGTACCCCCCTGTATATAGCCTCCCTACTGTTATTTTATTTTACTTCTGCTCTTTTTTTCTCAACACTTTTTTGTTGTTGTTGTTTTATTTTACTTTTCTATTTAAAAAATAAATGCATTGTTGGTTAAGGGCTGTAAGTAAGCATTTCACGGTAATGTCTACACCTGTTGTATTTGGCGCATGTGGCAAATAAAATTTTAGATGCATATTTGCACATACGCTAATGAGCTAAAAATACTTTTAAAATCTTCTCATGAACTATAGGACCAAATTACACCACATTTATTTGGAATGTAGGCCCATGGTACATGTCTTAACTTAGTTTGATAAAAGCTAAGGGATTGGTCAAAAACATGCCTGAGTTATTGTCAAATCAAAAATCTAATTTTACGTGTCCATTTAAAACCACTGATGGAGTGATTGCTTTGTTATCCTCTTAAGGATCAGACCCTTCATCTCAATTTCCGCCTAAAATGACATACCCAAATCTACCTGCCTTTAGCTCAAGACCTGAAGAAAGGATATGTATATTCTTGATACTATTTGAAAGGAAACACTTTGAAGGTTGTGGAAATGTGAAATTAATGTAGGCGAACATAACACAATAGATCTGGTAAAAGATAAACAAATAAAAAAACATTTTATATTTTATTTTTGTTGCATCATATTTGAAATGAAAAATAAAAGCCATATATTGAGATAGGAAGCTGGGGGTAATTTAGATGTTGTCCACAAGACGGCAACAGTGTATGTGCAACGTTTCAGACTGATACCTTCAAGAAAGAGAGCGCTACATAATATTTAGTATGAAGACTCCTAGGTGTCCCTCACGAGTTTGCCAAAATGTACCCAAGTGCCCTCCAAGTGGCCGAATTGGTCAATTGATACATAACTATAGAGAACATACTTAATTGCTATGGTAATAAAGAATACAAGTTTACACACTCCCAGGAATGTCATACATGATGGATCATTAGCTTCCCTACATAAAAGGTACTAACAGGAGACGCGACGAGAATGCTGATCCAATGCCTCCCAACACAGAAGTGAACCATTTAAGATAAGGGCCAAGTTAGCAGCCAACACTGATCTAATGTCATAAGTGAACACACCACAAACAAAGTGAAAAAAAACTATTTACAATTACAGTATTTAGAACACCCACAGTCCTCTACACAATTGTGCTGCTGATGCCAAGTCCCATAGCAGTCTCGTTCTGCTGTGAAGCAGACGGTAACAGAACAAGTAGTGCAGGTGATGGGAGATTTCTTGTGACACAGAGTACAACGACGCCTCCCTGCTGGGCTCTTTTTGCCCTGAGGCACATTGATGTCTGCAGTTATGTATTTTGGCAGGTGAACACCACTGGTGGCAGGAGTAGAGGGGACAGAGGTAGAGGGGACAGAAGGTGCTGCAGTGGACTTTGTGCCGTAGTCAGCAAGCTCCTGGATGAGCAGCTCTATGAAGGCTAGCTGTGTCATGGGGAGCTGTGTCTGTCCACAGCTCTTAGCCATTTCCTTCTGGAGGATGAATGCATTCACCACAGCAATGTCGATGAAGTGATAGAACAATGTCTTGTACCATTTCATTGTCTTGTGGAGAACATTGTAGTAGCCTATCAATGTCCATGCCCCATTACCGTCCTTCACACGCCTGCTGACGTGATCGCCTGTACGATTTGTGGATACCTCTCTGGTATCCATCCACTTTACAAAGTACCCCACTCAGCCCTCTTAGGCATGTTGTATACTTTTGTTTTGGAAAAACCCACTCTGTTGGGAAGAATGGTGCCGCAAGACCATACATTCAGCTTCCTCAGGTCTGTAAACAGGGTAGGGCTTGTGTAAAAGTTGTCCACAAACAGTTTGTAGCCTGTCCTCAGCAGTGCAAAATCCAATAATTCCATAACGGAATCATAACTAAGTCCCTTACCGGTGGCTGAGATGGATTTCCCCTAGTAAACAAATCAAACCGTTTGTAACCCCATTTTGTTGGCTTGTCACGCATATATTGTTTGAGGCCAATTCTAGCCTTTGAGGCTACCATCCTCTCATCTATGGACAGGTTCTGGGCGGGCTGAAAATGGGTATTGCAGGCCTTTAACCATGCTGGAGTAGAGAGGTTTGATTTTGCAGAGCCTATCAAAGTTTGCTGTGCCTCTCTTCTTCTCATTGTGGTCATCAGCTTGTGGGTCACTGATATGAAGCGCCCACGAGATAGTCAGAAACCTGTTAGAAGACATGACAGTGGTGGGGAAAGGCAGTTGGTATAGTGTTGATCTTCTCCAGTAGTCCTTCAGGTTTTTCAACTTCACAAGCCCCATGTAAATGACCAGTGAGATGTAACAGCATAGGTCTTAGATGGAAATGGGCTTGCCTCTTTCTTTCCTGCTTGCTTCTTAGCCCCATACTTGTTGGTGTTAGACACCAGCGAACCAAGAACTGACAAGAAGAATAACATCTGGAAAAGATGAAGGGAGCTGTACATTCCAGTCATGTCCAGCTGAGGTCCTGCTGCCTCTTAGGTCAAAATGTTGGTGGAAGTGGCTCGACATCATCCTCTCGCACAGTGTGCCAATGGTCCTCTACCTCTGTGGTAGTTGCCGCTGGTGCACTGACCCTCCTCCGCTTCTGGGCTGGCCTCTTCACTCCTCTAGATGGCCGGGTGGGGGGTGGGTGTGGAGCCAGAGACAGCAGCAGGGGTCAGACTGGATGAACCAGTTTCTGCATTTGAATGAGTGGGGGAATGTGATGGTTCCCAAAGGTCATCTGAGTCATTGGCACTATTGAAGATTTTTACAAAAATCTGTAATAACTCAAGTTTCCTATTACTTATTTTATTTAATGAGCCCTGCATCAATACTTATATATATATATATATATACACACACACATCACTATAATGAAATATGTGTACCAATAGTAAATAAGACACTCAAAAACCACAGCATGTCATAGTCAACATAAAACATTTTTACTATTTTCTACATTGTAGAATAATACTAAAGACAACAAAACTATGAAATAACACATATGGAATCATGTAGTAACCAAAAAAGTGTTAAACAAATGAAAATATATTTTATATTTGAGCACTTGTTGGCTGCTTTTCCTTCACTCTGCCGTCCAACTCATCCCAAACCATCTCAATTGGGTTGAGGTCAGGGGATTGTGGAGGCCAGGTCATCTGATGCAACACTCCATCACTCCCCTTCTTGGTAAAATAGCCCTTACACAGCCTGGAGGTGTGTTGGGTCATTGTCCTGTTGAAAAACAAGTGATAGTCCCACTAAGCCCAAACCAGATGGGATGGCATTTCGCTGCAGAATGCTGTGGTAGCCATGCTGGTTAAGTGTGCCTTGAATTCTAAATAAATCACAGACAGCGTCACCAGCAAAGCACCCCCACACCATAACACCTCCTCCTCCGTTCTTTACGTTGGGAAATACACATGCAGAGATAATCCGTTCACCCACACAACATCTCACAAAGACATGGCGGTTGGAACCAAACATCGCCAATTTGGACTCCAGGCCAAATGACAAATTTCCGCCGGTCTAATGTCCATTGCTCATGTTTCTTGGCCCAAACAAGTCTCTTCTTCTTATTGGTGTCCTTTAGTAGTTGTTTCTTTGCAGCAATTCGACCATGAAGGCCTGATTCACACAGTCTCCTCTGAACAGTTGATGTTGAGATGTGTCTGTTACTCTGTGAAGCATTTATTTGGGCAGCAATTTCTGAGGCTGGTAACTCTAATGAACTTATCCTCTGCAGCAGAAGTAACTCTGGGACGAACCCCAGGCTGTAGTGATGTCGCAACAGTGCGATGCAGTGCCTTAGACCGCTGCGCCACTCGGGAGGCCCAAGAGTTTGTGGTTTTATTAAATTAAGAATGTCAATTGTCATGGTATATACTTGTATGTAGCAATGTCACATGTATCACTTTATTTAATTCAGACAAATCCTTTTCATTGTTAAAATAGGCCTATAATTATTTACATATTTTTTATGAATAATCTCGCAAGTAATCGAATAATAACGTCCGTTCGGATATCCGATTAACCGTGCTCATCCCTATGGCACACAGACATATAGGCATACATACAGCACTTTTCTCTGAACTAAAACCACAGTGCCCCATTTGTCACACACATACATGCATACATAAACACAACACACATACACACAGTTTACTTACCTTCCAGCAAACATGGTCTCTGCTTTGGCTGCAATCTCATCTATGTCTGGATCTGAAATTGAACAAAATAATGTGAATCACTGAAACCAATTAGAGAGTACAATTAAGCCAAGTTCAATTACAGAAAGTAATTAGTGCTGTCACCTCAAACAACTGATTACAATAGTAATCAACAAACCAGCAGGATTCCCCTTAGGCATCGACTGACACACTCTAGATTATCCTAGCCTGGTCCCATTGCAACCATAAGAGTTGGCAAGACAGTACAACAGATCTGAGACCAGGCTAAGATGTCCCTATGTGATGGTAGAGCTTTACCTGACATGGAGGGGAATTCAGACACCGACATAGAGCTGTCCGGTAGATTCCTGTCCCCAAATTCTTTTTTATAAATGGATAGCAGGTAGGTGATCCTATAGTCCAGCCGCACACTCAGGATGAACTGATGGGAGAACAAGATGGAAGCCGATAAATAAAGGATCATAATGTAAAATACCTCAAATCCATATTCAAGCTAAAATAGTTAAATCAGAGACCTTAAAACAGTGGTTACCAAACTATGTTTGGAGATCTCTTGTAAGCAACCCCCAAAAAAAGTTTTCTAGACAGGATCTCATTTTATGACGCAATTCATGATTTCAAGGACAAGCGGTTGAGTTCCATTTCTCTACCCTTCACCCAGAAGTATAAAGTTGATCACTCCCCCTTAAGCATGTAAAAGCATTGGAGACAGGTGTAGAGAGTCGGACCACAGCCAGCCTCAAGCCACTCCTTTAGAACAGTTACAGGTAACTGGCCCTCCAGACCACATGGTTGTGCTCCACTCACCTGTAGGATCTCAATGATTTTGAGCTTGGTGTCCATGACCATGACGTCCTCGTTGTCGGGCAGAAGGAAGGGTTGTATTCCGTGCTGGAGGGACGGGGGCGTGTCGGGGAGGTGGTGAGGCAGGACGTACCCTCTACTCAGCACCATCTGGGTCATCATCTCCCCCACGCCGTGGATGGTACGCAACACGTTGTTCCCTGGAGGACATGGAGACCCCGGAGGTGTTCATTGGGCACCAAACATAAGGAAACGGACTGAAACAGAGAGGGACTACCTGGCCTTGTACATTAAGGAACGCTAATCTTCTGTTGCAAAATGTTTCAAAACATTTTACGTTAAGTGTCCTAATTAACACGACCCAGGTCATAAAAGCTCTTTAATAAAGAGACGAGGAGAGTATCCCTTGAAGTTTCACATCTGGAAACTCATCTATCAATTAGTCTATATGCATTGTGCATATGCTTAATAAACTTAGTAAACAAATCAATTGTTTTGTGATTTAATGAAATGTTTGAATCAGTTAATTCATTCATTCTCTGTGTGACTCACCTGCCTCGGGACTCTTGCTGAGCTTGTCCATGTAGGTGAGTGGGTGCTGGACAAAGTCCAGGATGGCCAGGAGGGTGCGTGTGAGACGCAGCAGCTCACTGAAGCTGTAGAAGCCAAAGTAGACCAGGTTACGGGCCAGATGTACCACCTACAACACCGGAGACGAGGTTTCCCCACAGAGGCCAGAGTTAGACGCAACCTTAACATCAGAAAGTGATCATGTCTGTTACTATCTTTGTGTTGGGTAGGGGGGGTGGTCACCACTGGGTGAGGTGGGAGAATGACTGTTGTAAGGTTGTATTATTGTTTTTGTGGTGTTACTGTATATGTCATGAACGTTTTAATAAAAATTGACCAGAAAAAATTGAAAGTGAGGATGTCTATATCCATAGTTTGGAATGGATAACAACCAATCACACAAATAGTTGTGTGCTTTTTTACCTCCAGAGTCAGTTCATTCTTCTCTTTGTCTCCAAAGGGAAAGGGCTGACTGACCACGTCCTTGAGGTATTCCTCTACAAACTCCATGGTGGGGGCAAACTTCCTCTTCATCTCCTCTCTGGAGGTGTCTCTGAACTCATACTCATACCTATGGAGACAGTTATAGAGGATAGTTATTATATAGCACAGCAACTATACAGTCTCTACATGAGAATCTAATTAACAAAGAAATTCAATGTCAGTTGTTTAAACCTATGAAATAGACCTTCAGCCTAGAAAATCTGACTGCAATGTTTCTCTAGAGAAAAGAAAGTGCTCTCGCTACCTAGATGCATGAAACATGCAGCAAACTGAAGATGCAATTAATCTGTGATGACTCTCTACCCAGAGGTAATTTTCTTTCAAGTGGTGTGCCAGTTACAGATTCAGTATGTTATTGCCACATCCACAGATCCCAAAGCCACATAAAACACACCCCACCATCTCCACCCCAACCCCCCCACTCACTCGTGGATGGTGATCTTGGAGGGGATCTCGGTCCAGAGGCGGGCGTAGCGCACAGCGACCACGGCCTCCTGGGGCTCGCGGTTCACGTGCATGTGCAGCATGAGGCGGCAGAAGGAGGCGCGAAGGTTGTAGGGCAGGCAGTCGTCAAACATGCAGCGCAGGATCAGGTCCACAGGAAGCTGGCTGGACACCTGGTTGATAGCCAGGTACTGGCGGTCCAGACACATCTTGGCAAACAGGTTGAGCTGGTATCTGGAGGGTGGATGGGGAAGGGGGGAGATGGAGAGGAAATACATGGAGAAGAGATGTCATAGGTGTGTCATAGAAATATGACATGTGAAATGTTTGGTAGTTGGACTGAAGACGCACACCCAAATGATTGACAAGGTGTACTGTAGACTAACGGACCAGAAACTAAGTTGAACACTCGATACATCAATAAATAGGAGAACCAACGTTTCGCCATCCAGAGACAATAAAGACTTTGAACACCTTGCTGCAGTAGCTGTCTAGTACCTGTAGTAGGTGATGATGTCGCTGTCCAGCTTGTGGTTGCCCTTGGCGTCCTGGGCCAGGTGGCGGATGGACTTGCCGTGCGGCTCCTTGTGGCTGTCGATCCAGTAGAGCCACACCTCCTCGTCCTCTGTGTCCTCCAGCAGCAAGGACGACTCCAGGGATGTCTCTGTGTTGGGGATGAGCCTGGGGGGGGGAATGGAAGCATTCATTCTTCACTTTGGAGCTCAAAACACACACCCACATATACACTACCACACACAATATCTGCTACTTCTCTTTGCACATCTGCATACACCAGCTTAATGATATTCACCCAAGCTGTGTCTTTTTACACAGATGTAACAGCTTATGTGATTGTGAACTTCTAGTGTATAACACAGCCATGTCAAACATCAGTCCCCAATCTGAAAACCTGGGCACCAGTGTTCGGTAGAGAGCACAGGCATGTGTGTGTGTTTGTGTTTGTGTGTGTGTGTGAGACTCACTTGGTCTGGATGAGGATGTCAGCATTGGCGGAGTTCAGCATGAATTTACAGATGAGCTCCTGTGTCACTGGAATGGCCGTCTTATTGGACACACACAGGTCTGACAGATAGTCCAGGAACCTGATTGGACAGAAGAACACAACCAAACATATTGGACAAAATCTGCTCAAAGACGTTGAACCCAGTACAGTGGCTTAACAATACCTAACAATCACAGGCAACACAAATATACCGTAATATACATAGGTTTTTTGTTTGTGTGGCACATTGTGCTTTATAGCCCCAGTGTGTATATCTAACCATAAACATTGGGAGTTTCATGGATCAAATGTGTGTGTGTGTGTGTGTGTCATATGCATGTTATAATTAAGCAATAAGACCCGAGGGGGTGTGGTATATGGCTAATATACCACGGCTAAGGGCTGTTCTTATGCACGACGCAACGTGAAGTGCCTGGATACAGCCCTTAGCTGTGGTATATTGGCCATATACCACAAACCCCCGAGGTGCCTTATTGCTATTATAAAATGGTTACCAACATAATTAGAACAGTAACAATTTATGTTTTGGTATTCCACGGCTTTCAGCCAATCAGCATTCAGGGCTCGAACATTTATAATGTGTGTTATATATAGTACACACATTTCTCCTTCCTGCTCTGCTCTGTCCTGACCTGGGCTCTCGGTTGCGTCGCAGCAGTTTGACAAAGGTCTCAATCTCCTTGGCTGTGATGTGTTTCTCCAACAGCTTGCGGTTGTTGTGGAGCAGAGCTGTAATGGTGTCCTCCGCCAGGATCTCATAACCGATCTGAGACTGCATGATGGAGAACTTCTTGGCTATGTACTCCTGGAGGGCAGAATGAGACCAGTTAGTCGCGATGGATACCACTATAGGAATACATCTGGGTCGGGTATATGAACTTGTCCAATAATAAATGCTCACTTTCGTGTTCCGTTGCAATTTGTTTTCAAATTAAACTAAATCAAATCAAATTTTTGTCACATGCGCTGAATACAAAAGGTGTAGACTTTACCGTGAAATGCTTACCTTCCAAACAACGCAAAAAAAAGTTGTACTACTGTCTGCCCTAATGAACACGACCTTGTTGTGATGGGTTGGCTGATAGGGTTAAGAGTTTCTGCTTGAGATACTTCAACCAGCACACAATGGATCTTCATCTTTCACATACACGACTTCCTACATATACATTACCAGTCAAAAGTTTGGACACACCTACTCATTCAAGGGTTTTTCTTTATTTTTACTATTTTCTACATTGTAGAATAATAGTGAAGACATCAAAACTATGAAATAACACATATGGAATCATGTAGTAACCCAATAAGTGTTAAACAAATCAAAATATATTCGAGATTTGAGATTCTTCAAATAGCCACCCTTTGCCTTGATGACAGCTTTGCACACTAATGGCATTCTCTCAACCAGCTTCACCTGGAATGCTTTTCCAACAGTCTTGAAGGAGTTCCCACATATGCTTAGCACATGTTGGCTGCTTTTCCTTCACTCTGCCGTCCGACTCATCCCAAACCATCTCAATTGGGTTGAGGATTGTGGAGGCCAGGTCATCTGACGCAGCACGCCATCACTCTCCTTCTTGGTAAAATAGCCCTTACACCACCTGGAGGTATGTTGGGTCATTGTCCTGTTGAAAAACAAATGATAGTCCCACTAAGCCCAAACCAGATTTGATGGCGTATCGCTGCAGAATGCTGTGGTAGCCATGCTGGTTAAGTGTGCCTTGAATTCTAAATAAATCACAGACAGTGTCACCAGCAAAGCACCCCCACACCATAACACCTCCTCCTCCGTGCTTTACGGTGGGGCGGAGATCATCCGTTCACCCACAGCGCGTCTCACAAAGACATGGCGGTTGGAACCAAAAATCTCAAATTTGGACTCCAGACCAAAGAACACATTTCCACCGGTCTAATGTCCATTGCTCGTGTTTCTTGGCCGAAGCAGGTCTCTTCTTCTTATTGGTGTCCTTTAGTAGTGGTTTCTTTGCAGCAATTCGACCATGAAGGCCTGATTCACACAGTCCCCTCTGAACAGTTGATGTTGAGATGTGTCTGTGACTTGAAGCATTTATTTGGGCTACAATTTCTGAGGCTGGTAACTCTACTGAACTTATCCTCTGCAGCAGAGGTAACTCTGGGTCTTCCATTCCTGTGGCGGTCCTCATGAGAGCCAGTTTCATCATAGCGCTTGATGTTTTTTTTTAATGTTCCATATTGACTGACCTTCATGTCTTAAAGTAATGATGGACTGTTGTTTCTCTTTGCTTATTTGAGCTGTTCTTGCCATAATATGGACTTGGTCTTTTACCAAATAGGGCTATCTTCTGTATACCCCCCTACCTTGTCACAACAAAACTGATTGGCTCAAATGCATTAAGAAGAAAATAAATTCCACAAATTAACTTTTAAGAAGGCACACCTGTTAATTGAAATGCATTCCAGGTGACTACCTCATGAAGCTGGTTGAGAGAATGCAAAGAGTGTGCAAAGCTGTCATCAAGGCAAAGGTTGGCTATTTGAAGAATATATTTTGATTTGTTTAACACTTTTTTGGTTACTACATGATTCCATAAGTGTTATTTACTAGTTTTGATGTCTTCACTATTATTCTACAATGTAAAAAATAAAGAAAAACCCTTGAATGAGTAGGTGTGTCCAAACTTTTGACTGGTAGTGTAAGCTTATATTTTATAACAAACAGTTATTGATCTTATTGACCAAGATAGAGTCAGGGTTGCGAGTTGGACAAAGCTACAGTGCTACTAGCCTGGTTCTTGCGGTAGTCCTGTTGGGAGTGGCGCAGCACCCGGTAGCACAGCTGCAGCATGTACTTAAAGGGAGCGTAGCGCTGGTCCCCCAAGTCCTCCAGCTTCAGCATGGGCCCCTCCCCCAGGTCCGTGAATGGGGCCTTCAGAATACCAAAAATCTGGAGAAATCAGACAGCAGAAGAGAGAAGAGATCAGAGAGAGAGAGACAGACAGACAAATGACTTGTTGATGCCAAAACAATTGCACTTTACAAATTATTCTGTTGTTGTCCGTATCATCCCTAATCACAGTAATTACCACTGCCAGCATCATTACCGCTAACAATGCTATTAGCACAGCCTTTGGCATAATTGACTTGAATTATTAATCCCTTAAATTACTGTGATTAGAGGGAGCCTGCTTTCTGCACTCTATTGCCCATAAGTCACAGTGTGATGGCCATTGGAAGGAGACAGTGGAATTCCCCTTCTAGCTTGGGTGCCAGTCTGCTTCTGCGTTAGCAAATAAGTCTATTAAGTCAAAATAAATCTGCACACTTTTAGCTCAATTTAACAGTGTTTGTAAGATACAAATAGCTTCTCTTTGTCATCATTACCCAATATAATTGTTATGACAACAACAGACAACACAGGAACTGGCCAAAGCAGAATCAGATATAAGACCAAAGCTAGAGGATACTTCTTTAGGCGATATTCTGGGAGAGTGTGTGTGAGTGTATGAGTGAGCTGACCTGGGCTAGAATGTTCTGTTCCCTCATTAGTTTCTGTCTTTCCCTGTTGGGGTTGGAGATGACCACAGACAGCACGTCCTGACCGTTGTTGGGGACCTCGCACACAAAGAAGATCAGGTCCTCTAACAGCTTAGTCACAAACCTGGGAAACACGGGCCCCCAAAATAACATTAGTTGATATGACAGAAGTACACAGAACACATTATCTGTCTGAAAGCCACAGTTATTGCAGACATCGAGATTCCATAGGGAATGAGGAAATTAATACATGCAATAAAAATTATAATTGAAAACAGATTGAATTACACAGTATTGGACCAAATAAACAGTGTAACCCTCTTGGCCGTGTCACTAGGGGGCATACTCTAGCGCCTATACTGACTGTATCACGTTGTATTCTACTCAGGAGCTATATTCGATTGCATTGCACTGTCTAACAACGTTACTAGCCTTCACATCCTTGTTTCCTCCATTCGGCTCGCTCTCAAAGCACATTGGAGGAGAGGATCCAAAGACCCTGCCCTCCGACCACCTCCTCAGATGCGCAAGTAAGGAGGAAGCAAGGATTTGCTGGCTAGTAACATTTCCAGGCACAGCCAGGGTGTCTTGGTTGTGTCAGCAGGGCTGTGCTGTACCTCCTCTCGTTCTGAGCAATGTTGCCGTACTGCAGCTTCCTCACGGTCAACTCCAGGACCTTGTTGGCATCGTTGGCAAAGTCCAGGTCTCGGACCTCAAACAGGGGTACAGAGACAATAGCAAATGCCTCCTTGTCCTCCTTCGTAGGGCACGTGCCAATCTGTGGGTAGAGGGCATACAGTATCAAATGAACTACTCATGTGTACTGTAGGCCTATAGACTCAACAACAATCCCTCCAAACTCCACAATGAACCCTATGTCTAATAGTAACTTACAATGTTGAAAAGTTTGTGAAAAAAGTTTGTGACAATATTATTATAAGCACAAAAACAGCAGGGGGGTAGTATTGGACCTTGAGCATGACAGGGCGCTCCTCCTCAGCGTCGATGGGGAAGTTGGTGCTGCTCACCCAGGTGTTGGTACACAGGTGTCTCAGCCGTACGTACGAGTTCCTGAGGGAAGGCACAGTGTGTTCGAAGTGTGTTTTGAAGTGCTGAGCGATTAACCAAAATTTAATCGGTTCAGTTACTTGAATTCCATTTAGTTTTTTTTTTGTGAGCTCAATGCGCTGTTTCTCTAGAGAGAAATCCTATCAAGCATGAGAGACATCAAATCAAGAACAAACTGTGGGATGCTGTAGGGAGTTGTAGTTTTCAATAGGAAAATATTCAACCTAGTTCTAACCGACCTTTAAATGTTTTCAGTGTTTTAGATATTTTAAAATGTGTTTTAGCGGCCAGTCTCTGACCTGGGCACCAGACAGTCAGCCATCTGCAGCGTGGTGGCGTCCAGCTCAAACAGAGAGGCGATGTCGTTGCCATGGGGCACAGACACCAGGGTGCAGGCTATCTTCTCTGCAGCCTGACGCTTCTTCTTGGAGTACACTGTATCTGTCTCCGTCTGCAGACAGACAGCACAGACACACAAAGATGGATACCAAAGTTCTTGCAACTAAAGCATTCTCAATGCTAATATCAATAAACCTGTGACACAGATTCAAAGCACTGTAAAAAAACAAAACAATGGCAGCTTATGTTATTACAATGAGACAGTGGATGAGGTTTGGACTGCACTGTGTGGATGCTGCAGACAGATAATAGGCCAGTACTGGGAGGGTTAACCGCTGCAGTGTTCTCTGCGTGTCAATGGGAAAGAGCTCCTCTGAGCCACCCCTGTGCCTTATCACCTCCTCTCCCCCCTCCTCTCCTCTGGGTGACTCACTCCATCCAGCAGTACATAACAGCACAGCAGAGCAGACAGCACGTCTGTCTCCCCTCCCTCCATCTCTTCATCTCCCTCTCTCACAGAGCACCCACACACTCAGACTTTATATAAGGGGCCCACTGAGTGTCTGAGCCGAGTTTGTGTTCCAGTGTGAGCGGAGGCAGAATACCAATGCAGAAGGTCGGCAAGTGCAGGAAAATCTGTCTTGAAATAGAGTTTGTACATTGTCTACGTTGTGTACATTACATTTACATTTTAGTCATTTAGCAGACGCTCTTATCCAGAGTGACTTACAGTTAGTGAGTGCATACATTTTTTTTTTTTTTTCCATACTGGTCCCCCGTGGGAAACGAACCCACAAACCTGAGCTACACGTTGGTAGAGCAACATGGGTTGGAACAGAACAGAAAACAACAAAAATTTTAAGGAACCGAAAAGGAACCTGGAATTAAAGTGATCCATACTGTTCCGGAACAGAACCGTTATTTTAAAAGCGTGGCAACCGGTTAATAACGTTCCAGGCTTTTTTTGGGACTAGAAAAAAATAAGTGCAAAGCCCTCTCTCTGTCACTCAGAAACGTATTCCAGTGTCTGCCTGCAAGTTGAAGATCTTTGCCAGTGTGTGTACGTGTTTAGGCAACCTGTCCCTCCCCCCTCCTAAGCATAGGCTACTGCACTGACGTTACAAGCGTAATTCAGAAGATAGGGAGAAGATATTTAATTAGCTAGAGAAGAATGGATACATTTTTTTCAATGCTAGTTAAGGATACTATAGGCCTAATTATCATGTTTCACTTACTAACTTCAAAAAGCTGTGTTATTAACTCTGGTGCCGCTCTGCACATGCAAGCTTGTTAGCTAGCTAGCTAGTTCAAGCTTACTAGCTAGCTCAAAGGACATTTAAAAGTTCCTCCATAGAAGCCGCTCCTCCTAGGTATAATTCTGTGTACATAATTCTATAAAGCATGTCATAACAAGATGCCCAGCGCTTCAAGCCTCCTCCTCAACCCTCTCTCCCCACCTGCAAAATTTCAGTAGCATCTTGTACCATAGGCTGCACTTGTCTGTCCATCACACCTGTAAACAACTAGCTTGCTTGCTCTATTCGCACTGATTTGTGAAGTAATTTAATGAGCTAAAAAAAAAAACTTGATTTCAGAGGTTAAAAAGGGAACAATATAAACCGGTACTTTTTTATTTTGTTGCTCGGGAACAGTAGAACGGAACAAAAAAAATAGTGGTTCTGTTCAGAACTAAACGATTGGAAAATAATTTTGGTTACAACCCCTGGTAGTGTATGTTGTGAGTGTGTGTGTGCATGCATGTGTGTGTGTGAGAGAGAAAGATAAAAAGAGAGAGAGAGGAAAGAAGGGAAGAAAGTGAGCGGATGAGTCTGTTCTTACTGATGAGTAAGAGGAAAAGCTATTGCATAATAGGAGTTTGAGGTGGTGTGAGAGAACAGAGGGCCCAAGCAGGAGGCCCAGCGTTTGACAGGTGCACTCCCTCTACCACTGCATAGAAACACACCCACACAAAGTTGCTCTCTTAGCAGAAACACACTGTTTGTAGAGGATGCACAGTTTGATCTACCCTTTATGCAGTACTAGTTGTAAAATCTCATCTAAGAGAGACCATGGTCATGCATTGTTAAACACAACACATACCAGAATACTCATAGATATACCATGTGGTTGAAATCAGTGGAAATGAGGTCCAGACTAAGGTCCATCAGACAGGAATATGAAAACCAGAAGAGTGTTTCACTAACCTGATTCACCTCTGCTTTAGAATCCACACTCTCATCCCGGAAATCAGGGTTTATCTATAGAAAGAAAAGAAAGTCAGTCAGTCAGTCAGACAGTCAGTCAACTGTTCAGACCACACACTCTTCACACCATTAACAGTTTGTTGATTGTGATTAAGTTGACAGATTTGATCAACTTTATTATCTCCTTGGGGAAATTATTTTTGCAGTGCTGCACCTGTACAGCACAATGAAGGAGATTACAGAGAGAGAGGGCCATAATAGTGATGGGTCGTTTGCGAACGAATAGCTCTTTTTGAACAAATACTTTTGGTGAACGTCGGGAACCGAATTGTATCTGCGAAAGAGCTGTTCATTTGGCTCCTTGATTTGCATACTGCTTTTTGAGCTCCAGACAACGATTATAGATAAGTTATAAAAACATTCTCTGAAGATGGTAATTCTTCACTGCAGGAACAATAGGTAGTGGGGAGAGAGCCACAATCTGGTCCACACTCAATTTTGCAGTAATCTAATTTCTTCAGGTAAAATGTATTTGAACTCACATTTCACGTTCTGACATAAATGGTAGGAAATGTGAAATTTGTCATGTTTTTTCATCCATTTCTAAGCGCTACTGAACGATGAGCCATGTAGGAACTAAATGAACGGCTCATTTTAGGTGAACGTATATCCAAAATATCCGGCTCACAATAAAGACTTGGGATACCCATCACTAGGCCATAAAAATGGGAACACTGCCATCTGCAGCACGTCTGGAACAACAACATCTGCTCACCTCTCACTACAAGCCTGATCCCAGATATGTATAATGTACATAAACACAGTCTGTAGCTAGAGGCCTAGCCAAATCCCAACTCCTCTGACTTTAGTTTTCATGCCATACATGAGTAATCAGTACAGTTGGCTAAAGCACACAGTATTCACAAAGAATCTCAGAGCAGGATTGCTGATATAGGATCAGTGTTTACTTTTAGATCCTAATTAATAGGATTATATGGACAGGTAGGACCTGATCCTAGACCAGCACCCTTACAGCCTGACCACAGAGAGAGGACTGACATAAGAGACAGTACAGAGACAGTAGTCTACAAAGAAAGCTGCATTGTGGTCTGTTGGCACTTCTCGCAGTTTCATGTAAAGTAGGGATTAACAAGTAGTGACAGGATGTTAACCAGAGTGGAAAACACCCACACATTGGCAATCTGTCAAGTCAGAAAACACTCAAACAAGAGATGGTAGCGTTGGTTATTGCACATACTTAGTCAAAGATTTTCCATCATGTGATAAGATAAGTATTATCTTTTGTGGAATGTATTATATTGTGGGTTTTTGGAAATTAAAAAAGCAATGAAAATGAACAACATCCTGTATTACTGTACAAGATGAGTCATTCATGGACAGAGTATTTAAATTAACAGTATTCAAATTCAGCAGCAGAGTCAAAACACAATGAAAAGACAACCGACAACCAAAATAACCGTTTGACACACAGTCAAAGAGAGAGAGCGAGAGCGAGAGAGAAGGAGGGAGAAAGTAACACCCTACCTCTGCAGCCAGGTAGTTCCCAGTGGCCAGGTGTTTGAAGCGAAACAGGCTGTTCCACTGGCCGGCACCCCCTCTGCAGGGGTCGTAGTGCACAACCTGCCATAGAGAAACACACATTTAAAACACACTGATCAACGAAGAAAGAACCCTCAACATCACTTAGCGCCATTAATAACATCATAGTATGAGGTAATGTATTTGTTCACGAGGAAGACACTTGTTTAATCTCCCTCTGGGGAATTTCCTATTCAAAACAGGTGTTTCCACTCGTTCTACCAAATCAAGAGCTTCTCACTCCGTCCCAATTCTCTGTTCTAAGTATGCACTTGTTCACTTGTCTTTGTTGATTTAAAGGCAAAGGACTGGTGTAAGAAATGGTGGAAACTAACCCACACCAATACATGTGTGACGAGGAGTGCACGGGTGCACACTTTGGGAGAATTGGGACGGAACCATTGCAGTAGGCAAACAGTGCAGTAGGTACCTCTATTTCCCAGAGTGCTTTGGAACTGGTGGCGGAGGTGGCAGACTGTCTCAGGGTGGTCCTGAGGAAGATGTGCTGCTGATTCCTGTACTCGTCACATGTCAGGAACTTCTCCTGTTCGGCGTGGAACAGACGCACCACATCACCCTGACAGAGATGACAACAACATGGTTTAGCTGTTTGGGCTAAGAAACTGAAAATAAACACTTTAAAGTAACACTTGATTTGAGTTATTATCAACTGAGCATAAATTATCATAATTTAATTATTATAATCATGATGCCATAATAACTATTTGTAAAAAAAAAAAAAAACTTTAAAATGTGGATGTGAAAGCATGAATTCTTTCACCTAAGACGGAGAGCCTCCCCATCAACAAACTTTGCATAGAACCCTCTGTCTGCACTGAAGGACATTAGGCAGGCAGCATGTAGAAGAGGTAAGATAAAGACAAAACACTCACTCCTTTGAGGACGTCCTCTCTGTAGTCACTGAACTTCATGAACAGAGTGACCTTCCAGCTGGTGTTGCAGTTCACAGCGTTCACCTACAGAAAAACCAAGGAGAGGAGCAGAGAAGACCAACGGACTGTCATGACTATACCTGAATTATACACATATTTTCAGAGCCTCAGATAGCTGCTGGTTTGCCATTCCTGCAACAATGCCGGTTCTGCAACCATGAAAGGACAATTTTTATGGACAGTGATAGCCGGAAGGTAGAGAGGGAGACCGATAGAGAGAGAGACAGAGTAGGGTCAGAGGTGGTATTCGTGACCCCGTCGCCAGCGGGTATGTATGGACCGGAGTCTGCAGCACTACCACTAGACAAGATTCTTAAGGTTCTTAATACCTGCTGCAATCAGGCAGGTTTCCAAACGCATGTTATGATATGTGTGCGTTAGCGAGTCGTTATGGTTAAAGGTTAAGGGTTAGGATAAGGTTAGGTTACGGTATGCTAAGAGAGTGGTTAGAGTACATTTAGGTTTAGGCATACTAGCAAGTAGTTAAGGTAAGGGTTAAATAAAGACACGCCTAAATAAAAACAAGCCTAGATTCGAACCGCCGCCTGGATTCGAACCACCACCACTCTCGTCTCATGAGTCCTATTCACTTAAAAGGCAAACATGCTGACCAGCAGCTTTTTGGGAGTATTCAAAAATGTGACAATGCAGGAATTGTTGGAGATAGCAGGCTGGGACAGACACAACATGGCCATCATCCTTCTGCACAGTTTTTCCATGCATACAGTACATTTTTACACGGTAACCGCTATACTGTAGCTCTAATCAAATTGTTTCATGGATCTTACCTCCTTGCAGCCAGGGTTGTCTAGCAGCTCAATGTTGCTGGCATGGAGAGGCTGCCCTGCGTTCACAGGCATCAAGACCACTTTGTCTCCCACCACCACCTAGGGACCAACCACAACAGGTCAGACACTAGCGTACACATGATTACAAGTAGAGTAGAGTGAGAGTAGAATATAGATACAAATGAGGCAGATGTCTAATCGGACCTATCACAGGACAATGGGACAGAGGTATGAGACACACTTCAAACAGCAAAGGTCCACAGTCACACCCTGTCCCATGCAGAGGGCAACTATCCATCCAGAGATAAGCATTCCCCACAACAATGCAAATAGGATGAGTGGGCTTATTCTGTGTGTCATTTTCAATAGCAGATGAGCACAAACCATGGTCAAATGAAGGAAGTGTAGCATGTAGGGTGTTTACAGTGCATAGACATTAATTCACTCATACAGCTATGTGTGTGGTAGCGTGAATCGCTGAATGCAGTGTACTGTCCTGTATGCACCATAGTCTCAAACATCTACATTCAAACTGTACTCTACATTCAAAACACATAAATATCTCAATAAACAGACTGTAAATGGACTAAAATGGACAGGAGAAGAATTGTTCTTAAAGGCAGGCCATTCCAATAACAATGTTGCATCTATCTATCTACACTATACATACAAAAGTATGTTACCACCCCTTCAAATTGGTGGATTCTGCTATTTCAGCCACACCCGTTGCTGACCGGTGTATACAAATCGAGCACAGCCATGCAAGCTCCATAGACAAACATTGGCAGTAGAATGGCCTTACTGAAGAGCTCAGTGACTTTCAACGTGGCATCGTCATAGGAAGCCACCTTTCAAACAAGTCAGTTCATCAAATTTCTGCCCTGCTAGAGCTGCACTGGTCAACTGTAAGTGCTGTTATTGTGAAGTGGAAATGTCTAGGAGCAACAACAGCTCAGCCGCGAAGTCGTAGGCTACACAAGCTTACAGAACGGGACCCTCGAGTGCTGAAGCACATAGCACAAATTTCTCACTACCGAGTTCCAAATTGCCTCTGGAAGCAACGTCAGCATAATAACTGTTCCTCGGGAGCTTCATAAAATGGGTTTCCATGGCCGAGCAGCCGCACACAAGCCTAAGATCACCATGCCCAATGCCAAGCATCGGCTGGAGGGGTGTAAAGCTCACCGCCATTGGACTCTGGAGCAGTGGAAACACGTTCTCTGGAGTGATTAATCATGTTTCACCATCTGCCAATCCAACAGACGAATCCGGGTTTGGCGGACGGCAGGAAAACGCTACCTGCCCGAATGCATAGCACCAACTGTAAAGTTTGGTGGAGGAAGAATAATGGTCTGGGGCTGTTTTTCATGGTTCAGACTAGGCCCCTTAGTTCCAGTGAAGGGAAATCTTAACGCTACAGCATACAATGACATTCTATAAGATTCTGTTCCTCCAACTTTTTGGCAACAGTTTCCTGTATCAGCATGACAATGCCCCCTTGCATAAAGCGAGGTCCATACAGAAATTATTTGTTGAGATTGGTGTGGAAGAACTAGACTGGCCTATGAGGTCCTGAGCGCTCTGGAGCAGGTTTTCATCAAGGATCTCTCTGTACTTTGCTCTGTTCATCTTTCCCTCGATCCTGACTAGTCTCCCACTCCCTGCCGCTGAAAAACATCCACACAGCATGATGCTGCCACCACCATGCTTCACCGTAGGGATTGTGCCAGGTTTCCTCCAGACATGACACTGGGCATTCAAGCCAAAGAGTTCAATCTTGGTTTCATCAGACCAGAGAATGTTGTTTCTCATGGTCTGAGAGTCTTTATGTGCCTTTTGGCAAACTCCAAGCGGGCTGTCATGTGCCTTTTACTGAGGAGTGACTTCCGTCTGGCCACTCTACCATAAAGGCCTGATTGGTGGAGTGCTGCAGAGATGTTTGTCCTTCTGGAAGGTTCTCCCATCTCCACAGAGGAACTCTGGAGCTCCGTCAAAGTGACCATCGGGTTCTTGGTCACCTCCCTGACCAAGGCCCTTCTCCCCCGATTGCTCAGTTTGACCGGGTGGCCAGCTCTAGGAAGAGTCTTGGTGGTTCCAAACTTCTTCCATTTAAGAATGATGGAGGCCACTTTGTTCTTGGGGACCTTCAATGCTGCAGAAAGGTTTTGGTACCCTTCCCCCCCACAATTCCTTCGACCTCATGGCTTGGTTTTTGCTCTGACATGCACGGTCAACTGTGGGACCTTATATAGACAGGTGTGTGCCTTTCCAAATCATGTCCAATCAATTCAATTTACCACAGTTGGACTCCAATCAAGTTGTAGAAACATCTCAAGGATGACCAATGGAAACAGGATGCACCTGAGCTCAATTACAAGTCTCATGGCAAAGGGTCTGAATACTTATATAAATAAAAGGTATTTCAGTTTTTCGAAGAAAATAAAAACTGTTTTCGCTTTGTCGTTATGGGGTATTGTGTGTAGCTTGATGAGGATGTGGAAAAAGTCAAGTGGTCTTAATACTTTCCCAATGCACTGTATCTATCGATAGCATTGCTGTAATCTAAAACTTCCAGTCAATAACAGTTAAAGGGCAACTCCACCACTTTTCAACCTAATTTTCATTATCTCCAGCACAATAAGTGTGTCAACATATGGAAAACTGCGCATTTCTAAGTTTTTTAGAAAATAATATAAATTAAAAATGTTCTACCTGGTGACATCAAAAGTTATAACAACAACAAAAAACGCTGATTTTCAAACACTATGATATTAGCGGTGATGTGGGAGCAAGAAAATACCCTCCCTTGGGCTAGAAACTCGTTGCAGGTTTAGAAAAACCACTGTTTTTTTTGTTTTAATCCTACCCTGTGATGTCACAGAGAAGCATTTTCTTTTACCTTTCTTCTTATCTTTTGAACCACAGATCATAGAAAAGCGCAGTTTTCACATATGTAGACACTGGTTTGGTGAATATGAGGTTGAAAAGTGGCGGAATGGCCTTTTAAGGGAAAAATAGGAAATTGTACAAGACTAGTGGAAATGCACACACGTACTTAAGTTTTTCAATGCTCAATGACTACATGCAAGGCTAGTGCTAACATGCTTTCACAGCAAGTCTCATGGCCGAACACACACACCATGCACTTCAAACAAGAAGAATACCTTCCACCATAGGATGCTAAAGCAAAAGGAAAGGAGAAAACCAATCAAGTTATTTCAGAAGGATGAAGATATTACTTTGACATGGACATAATACCAATCTAATTAAAATATGACATGTTCAATATTAAGACGGCCCATAAAAATTTAAAATAATTATTAACAATACTGAGGTTCATCATGAAGTTTGGTTTACAATAACATATCTATGGTAAGTAGGGCTAGGAGTTTTTCATCATCGGGTCACATGTTCGGGAAAAACTCCTGGCCCTAGTTACAGGGTACCTTCAAAGCAGTGGCCTGTAGTGAGTCAGGTCAGGGCCCCTTTTCATAAAGCGGCTCAGTAAAAGTGCTGATCTAGGATCAGTTTTGCCTTTCAGATAATAATGAAGAGGATTATAAAGACAAGGGGGACTTGATCCAAGATCAGCACTAACAGGGGTACCTACATTATCCCCCTCGCTGCGGAGTTTCCAGAAGGGCTGGATGTAGAACCAGGAGCCCTCATTGCCGGCTGGGTCCAGAGACACACGCATGGCGTTCTTCTCCAGCAGCGCCGGCAAACGCTTATTCACCGTCAAGTACTTGTTACTCTTTATATGCAGAAGCTGAGGGAGAAATAAATGGGGCCAATTTACAAGGACACATCATACACAAGGTCCATGGTTAGAATCCCACCACAACACCTAACTCTAATCTTAACCAATCACATTTCTTTAGTGCTAGGAAACAGTTACCGTATGAAATTGGTACTTTTTTTTATTAAAGTGAGATGTAGGGCTAGTTCATAATTTTTATTTCACCAGACCAATTAATTATGAGCTCAGATTTTACTTGATTTGGAATTTACCTCAAAAGCCTTTCAATTTAGTTTCCGCTTGGGATAAGGGATAAGAACATTACCCAAATTATTTATACATTACCAGTCAAAAGTTTGGACACACCTACTCATTCAAGGGTTTTTCTTTATTTTTACTATTTTCTACATTGTAGAACAATAGTGAAGACATCAAAACTATGAAATAACACATTTGGAATCATGTAGTAACCAAGAAAGTGTTAAACAAATCAAAATATATTTTAAATTTTAGATTCTTCAAACAGCCACCCTTTGCCTTGATGACAGTTTTGCACACTCTTGGCATTCTCTCAACCAGCTTCACCTGGAATGCTTTTCCAACAGTCTTGAAGGAGTTCCCACATATGCTGAGCACTTGTTGGCTGCTTTTCCTTCACTCTGCGGTCCGACTCATCCCAAACCATCTCAATTGGGTTGAGGTCGGGGGATTGTGGAGGCCAGGTCATCTGATGCAGCACTCCATCACTCTCCTTCTTGGTAAAATAGCCCTTACACAGCCGGGAGGTGTGTTGGGTCATTGTCCTATTGAAAAACAAATGATAGTCCCACTAAGCCCAAACCAGATGGGATGGCGTATCACTGCAGACTGCTGTGGTAGCCACGCTGGTTAAGTGTGCCTTGAATTCTAAATAAATCACAGACAGTGTCACCAGCAAAGCACCCCCACACCATAACACCTCCTCCTCCATGCGGAGATCATCCGTTCACCCACACCGCATCTCACAAAGACATGGCGGTTTGAACCTAAAATCTCAAATTTGGACTCCAGACCAAAGGACACATTTCCACCGGTCTAATGTCCATTGCTCGTGTTTCTTGGCCCAAGCAGGTCTCTTCTTATTATTGGTGTCCTTTAGCAGTGGTTTCTTTGTAACAATTCAACCATGAAGGCCTGATTCACACAGTCTCCTCTGAACAGTTGATGTTGAGATGTGTCTGTTACTTGAACTCTGTGAAGCATTTATTTGGGCTGCAATTTCTGAGGTGCAGTTAACTCTAATGAACTTATCCTCTGCAGCAGAGGTAACTCTGGGTCTTCCATTCCTGTGGCGGTCCTCATGAGAGCCAGTTTCATCATAGCGTTTGATGGTTTTCGCGACTGCACTTGAAGAAACTTTAAAAGTTCTTGAAATGTTCCGTATTGACTGACCTTCATGTCTTAAAGTAATGATGGACTGTTTCTCTTTGCTTAATATAGACTTGGTCTTTTACCAAATAGGGCTATCTTCTGTATACCCCCCCTACCTTGTCACAACACAACTGACTGGCTCAAACGCATTAAGAAGGAAAGAAATTCCACAAATTAAACTTTTAACAAGGCACACCTGTTAATTGAAACGCATTCCAGGTGACTATCTCATGAAGCTGGTTGAGAGAATGCCAAGAGTGTCAAAGCTGTCATCAAGGCAAATGGTGGCTATTTGAAGAATCTCAAATATAAAATATTTGGATTTGTTTAACACTTTTTTGGTTACTATATGATTCCATATGTGTTATTTCATAGTTTTGATGTCTTCACTATTATTCTACAATGTAAAAAATTGTGAAAATAAAGAAAAACCCTTGAATGAGTAGGTGTGTCCAAACCTTTGACAGGTACTGTATATATATATATATATATATATATATATATATATATATATATATATATATATATATATATATATATATAACCTTTTTTTTTAAATAAAAGTTTCCCTTTTCTGGACAGATCATTCAAATAATGGCTTTAGCATGAAAGACGTACACAGAGCACTACATGAAAAAAACACCATATTTTAACAGCAAGAGACTGGACCTGACCAAACCACTTATTTTAATACGACTGTTTAAACCACAGTTAGAGGCCACAAGCCTTTTGAAAGCACACAGAACAAACCTGCACTAAATTGAAAATGTACTCTATGCCATTCATCATTGGCAATGTGAGGCACTAGAGGCCAGACTACAAACAGAAAGGCAGCCTTGGTGATCAAGTGAAAACAAACACAAGGTTCTGGGCACAAAGCAAACAGAGATATAGCTTCTGATAAGAAGAAGGAGTTGTCTGTAGTTGACTTTTACCTGGATGACGTTACTGTACTTTACCACCTCTCCCAGCAGCTTCTTATTCTCCGTCTCATTCTGCTTTTGTTCCAGTTCTGCTGCATGCTGAGACATGAACAAAAACATGTTTGGGACTGATTACATTGCAGTCACATTGTGCAGAATCACTGATCTAATCACCTTGCATCCCAAATGACTACTTGTGTGATCAAGATTAGCGATTCTGTGCCTCGGCTTGCTCAAACTGATCTTGGTTGACTTAAAAGGGGCAATCAGCAGTTGCTACATCCATTTTGTACCCATTGAATCTTGAAGAATATAACATATAAATGCCTCAATGCCATAGTTTAACTGACGTACTCAATCAGAACCCAAAATATATGTTTGTTGTACTCCAATTTTTGGAAACAAAGTAAATGTAAACAAGCACTGTTTAGTCTCAAAACATGGTTAAAACTATCATTTTGATATCATGGAGGTTCAGCCCTTGTATCCATAGCTCAGTCTATGAATTTGAGAGTGATTACACTTCCCCAGCCCCATCCCTCAGCTTTTTACTGAAATAGTGGCAGGAAGAACGCCTTGTTATTGTTTCTAATGCTGATTGGCCCTTTAAAGCAGTGTTTTTCGATCCAGGTCCTGGGGACCGACAGGGTAAGCAGACTTTTTTTCCAGACCAGCACTAACATACTTGATTTGACTACTTAACTATAGTAATGATTAAGCCCTTGATTAGGTGAATCAGTTGTGTTAGTGTGGGATGGATCAAAATCCTCCACATCCTGTGGTTGCCTTGCCCAGGACTGTGAATGAAGAACACTAGGTCTTGGAGACAGGTCATACCTGTAACTTCTTGAATAGGTCTTCTTGTGTGTCGTTGTTGCCTTGTTTGCCCTGTTTGGCCTTCCAGAACTGCTTCTGAGCCGAGTACCTGTTCATCGGACACACCTTGAACAGGCAGTCTGGAGAGAGAGACAAAGAGAGATATGGAGAGGAAGAAAGAAATGGGGAGAAAACGATGTAGAAAGATATAATGAAACAGAAACCGGAAGGGAGGTGTGTTAGAGAGAGGAATACAAACATGAATCAAACACTTTTTCTTCCAGAAAATTTTTCTAAATTTTAGTCATTTATCCAGATCGACTTACAGTTAGTGCATTAATCTTACGATAGCTAGGTGGGGCGACCATATATCTCAGTCATAGTAAGTACATTTTCCTCAATAAAGTAGCTATCAGCAAAGTCAGAACTAGTAAGGGGGGAAGGAAAAGTCAAGTCCAAGTGTTAATTCACAAAAGGCTTACTAATACATACTCATTTCAACGGCAAAGTGACACTAACTGTCAATTGAGTCTAGGTGACTGGTTAGGGGTAAATAGCATGTTTGTGGTTAATGGCTGTTAATTCACTGAGAGTCTATAAAGTCAGTTAAACACAACCTCCTGTGAAAACCAAACTGTTAAAACAACATGGGGGCCTTAATGGCCTGCTCAGTGTGTGTGTGTGTGTGTGTGTGTCTGCAGTAACCTTGGCACACTGCATTACTAGAGACTGCCCCTCACAGCCATCGTTCAGAGAAGCAGTGAGTAAATTAATTCAAACAACTCTTATTTAGTTAGGAATTGGGCCTTTGTGATTGGGAAGCTGGTCATCGACTCCTCCCACTCACCTCTGAACTTTTTGGGCGGATTGGCCAGGTCTCCTGCATCGGGTTGCACCACACACCTGTCATCAACAAGCCTGGGGAGACAACATAACCCACATAATTTCTACAGTTCATACGGGAGAGAACATAACACACATCTTTCCTACAATTATATATATATATATATACAGTGGGGAAAAAAAGTATTTAGTCAGCCACTAATTGTGCAAGTTCTCCCACTTAAAAAGATGAGAGAGTCCTGTAATTTTCATCATAGGTACATGTCAACTATGACAGACAAAATGAGAAAAAAAATCAAGAAAATCACATTGTAGGATTTTTAATGAATTTATTTGCAAATTATGGTGGAAAATAAGTATTTGGTCAATAACAAAAGTTTCTCAATACTTTGTTATATACGCTTTGTTGGCAATGACACATGTCAAACGTTTTCTGTAAGTCTTCACAAGGTTTTCACACACTGTTGCTGGTATTTTGGCCCATTCCTCCATGCAGATCTCCTCTAGAGCAGTGATGTTTTGGGGCTGTCGCTGGGCAACACAGACTTTCAACTCCCTCCAAAGATTTTCTATGGTGTTGAGATCTGGAGACTGGCTAGGCCACTCCAGGACCTTGAAATGCTTCTTATGAAGCCACTCCTTCGTTGCCCCGGCGGTGTGTTTGGGATCATTGTCATGCTGAAAGACCCAGCCACGTTTCATCTTCAATGCCCTTGCTGATGGAAGGAGGTTTTCACTCAAAATCTCACGATACATGGCCCCATTCATTCTTTCCTTTACACGGATCAGTCGTCCTGGTCCCTTTGCAGAAAAACAGCCCCAAAGCATGATGTTTCCACCCCCATGCTTCACAGTAGGTATGGTGTTCTTTGGATGCAACTCAGCATTCTTTGTCCTCCAAACACGACGAGTTGAGTTTTTACCAAAAAGTTATATTTTGGTTTCATCTGACCATAGGACATTCTCCCAATCCTCTTCTGGATCATCCAAATGCACTCTAGCAAACTTCAGACGGGCCTGGACATGTACTGGCTTAAGCAGGGGGATACGTCTTGCACTGCTGGATTTGAGTCCCTGGCGGCGTAGTGTGTTACTGATGGTAGGCTTTGTTACTTTGGTCCCAGCTCTCTGCAGGTCATTCACTAGGTCCCCCCGTGTGGTTCTGGGATTTTTGCTCACCGTTCTTGTGATCATTTTGACCCCACAGGGTGAGATCTTGCGTGGAGCCCCAGATCGAGGGAGATTATCAGTGGTCTTGTATGTCTTCCATTTCCTAATAATTGCTCCCACAGTTGATTTCTTCAAACCAAGCTGCTTACCTATTGCAGATTCAGTCTTCCCAGCCTGGTGCAGGTCTACAATTTTGTTTCTGGTGTCCTTTGACAGCTCTTTGGTCTTGGCCATAGTGGAGTTTGGAGTGTGACTGTTTGAGGTTGTGGACAGGTGTCCACAACCTCAAACATAGTGGAGTTCAAACAGGTGCCATTAATACAGGTAACGAGTGGAGGACAGAGGAGCCTCTTAAAGAAGAAGTTACAGGTCTGTGAGAGCCAGAAATCTTGCTTGTTTGTAGGTGACCGAATACTTATTTTCCACCATAATTTGCAAATAAATTCATAAAAAATCCTACAATGTGATTTTCTGGATTTTTTTCTCTCAATTTGTCTGTCATAGTTGACGTGTACCTATGATGAAAATTACAGGCCTCTCTCATCTTTTTAAGTGGGAGAACTTGCACAATTGGTGGCTGACTAAATACTTTTTTCCCCCACTGTATATATATATACACACACACACACACACACACACACACACACACATACATACGGTGCAATGAAAAAGTATTTGCCCCCTTTCTAATTTTCTCTACTTTTGCATATTTGTGATACTGAATGTTATCAGATCTTCAACCAAAACCTAATATTAGATAAAGGGAACATAAGTGAACAAATAACACAACAATTACATATTTATTTCATAAACTAAGTTATGCAACACCCAATTCCCCTGTGTGAAAAAGTAATTGCCCCCTTACACTCAATTACTGGTTGTGCCACCTTTAGCTGCAATGACTCTAACCAAATGCTTCCTGTAGTTGTTGATCAGTCTCTCACGTCACTGTGGAGGAATGTTGGCCCACTCTTCCATGCAGAACTGCTTTAACTCAGTGACGTGTGGGTTTTCAAGCATGAACTGCTCGTTTCAAGTCCTGCCACAACATCTCAATTGGGATTAGGTCTGGACTTTGACTAGGCCATTCCAAAACTTCCAATTTGTTGCTTTTTAGCAATTTTCACGTAGACTTGATTGTGTGTTTTGGATCATTGTCTTGCTGCATGTCCCAGCTGCACTTCAGCTTCAGCTCACAGACGGATGGTCTGACATTCTCCTGTAGAATTCTCTGATACAGAGCATAATTCATGGTTCCTTCTATTAAGGCAAGTCATCCAGGTCCTGAGGCAGCAAAGCATCCCCAAACCATCACACCACCACCACGCTTGACCTTTGGTATGATGTTCTTACTGTGGAATGCAGAGTTTGGTTTTCGCCAGGCATAATGGGACTCAAGTTTCCCAAAAAGCACCTGGATGATCATCAAGACTCTTGGAAGAACGTTCTATGGACAGATGATTCAAAAGTATAACTTTTTGGACGACATGGTTCCAGTAATGCCTGGCGAAAACCAAACTCTGCATTCCACAGTAAGAACGTCATACCAAAGGTCAAGCATGGTGGTGGTGGTGTGGTGGTTTGGGGATGCTTTGCTGCCTCAGGACCTGGACGACTTGCCTTAATAGAAGGAAGGAACCATGAATTATTCTCCTGTAGAATTCTCTGACACAGAGCAGGTCAGACCATCCGTCTGTGAGCTGAAGCTGAAGCGCAGCTGGGTCATGCAGCAAGACAATGATCCAAAACACACAATCAAGTCTACATGAAAATTGCTAAAAAGCAACAAATTGGACATTTTTTGAATGGCCTAGTCAAAGTCCAGACCTAATCCCAATTGAGATGTTGTGGCAGGACTTGAAACGAGCAGTTCATGCTTGAAAACCCACACGTCACTGAGTTAAAGCAGTTCTGCATGGAAGAGTGGGCCAACATTCCTCCACAGTGACGTGAGAGACTGATCAACAACTACAGGAAGCATTTGGTTAGAGTCATTGCAGCTAAAGGTGGCACAACCAGTAATTGAGTGTAAGGGGGCAATTACTTTTTCACACAGGGGAATTGGGTGTTGCATAACTTAGTTTATGAAATAAATATGTAATTGTTGTGTTATTTGTTCACTTATGTTCCCTTTATCTAATATTAAGTTTTGGTTGAAGATCTGATAACATTCAGTATCACAAATATGCAAAAGTAGAGAAAATTTGAAACGGGGCAAATACTTTTTCATAGCACTGCACACACACACACACACGTTCAAAAGTTTGGGGTCACAAAGAAATGTCCTTGTTTTTGAAAGAAAAGCATTTTTTTTGTCCATTAAAATAACATCAAATTGATCCGAAATACAGTGTAGACATTGTTAATGTTGCAAATGGCTATTGTAGCTGGAAATGGCTGATTTTTTATGGAATATCTACATAGGCGTACAGAGGCCCATTATCAGCAGCCATCAGTCCTGTGTTCCAATGGCACGTTGTGTTTGCTAATCCAAGTTTATCATTTTAAAAGGCTAATTGATAATTAGAAAACCCTTTTGCAATTATGTTAGCACAGCTGAAAACTGTTGTGCTGATTAAAGAAGCAATAAAACTGGCCTTATTGAGACTAGTTGAGTATCTGGAGCATCAGCAATTGTGGGTTCGAGTACAGGATCAAAATGGCCAGAAACAAATAACTTTCTTCTGAAATTCGTCAGTCTATTCTTGTTCTGAGAAATGAAGGCTATTCCATGCGAGAAATTGCCAATAAACTGAAGATCTCGTACAACGCTGTGTACTACTCCCTTCACAGAACAGCGCAAACTGGCTCGAACCAGAATAGAAAGAGGAGTGGGAGGCCCCGGTGCACAACTGAGCAAGAGGACAAATACATTAGAGTGTCTAGTTTGAGAAACAGACGCCTTACAGGTCCTCAACTGGCAGCTTCATTAAATAGTACCTGCAAAACACCAGTCTCAATGTCAACAGTGAAGAGGTGACTACGGGATACTGACCTTCTAGGTAGAGTTGCAAAGAAAAAGCCATATCTCAGACTGGCCATCTTAATCTTTTATTTTTATTGGCCAGTCTGAGATATGGGACCGCCGAAAAAGATGGCAGCACTTTAGAGAGCTCCTAACAACGGCATACACTTTCATTTTTGTCTTCATATATTGACTTGAAGTACAGTTTAATATAAAGATCATTTACATTTTGAAACATCTTGCTAAAGTGGCGTTATTGGAATGTCTAAAGGAAAAAGTTGATGCGATACAAGAGGATGGAGGGGACAGAGGGATGGATTTCGACAATGGAGGATGCCATCTCCTGTCTGGAGAAGGGTCATGAGTATCACACGAAAAAGCTGGATATATTGTGGAATCGTGTCGAAGAACTTGAGAACAGAAGTAGAAGAAATACGGTGAGATCGGTTAATCTGAAAGAGGGGAGTGAGGCTGGCGGTGGACTAATCTCGTGTATGCAGAACATCAATGCAGAAGGATTTGATGACAGGCACTAATTCGAAATTGAACGAACCCTTTGCAGTTTAACCATGCCTGATGAGAATAGGTTCTCATCCACTTCCTACAATCTACAGCCCGGGACAAGGTACTTAAAGCGGTGAAAGAAAAGGGTGGCATTCAGTGCGAAGGCCGCCGGCTGTCTTTTTTCCCAGACCTTTCCAAGGAACTGGCAATGAAGAGGAAGAAGTTTGCAACGGCGAAGAAACAACTACACGAGAAGAACATCAGGCACACACTGTCATTCCCAGTGACCCTGCTCTTTACTTGGAAGGGAAATAAAATGATTTTCAAGGACAACTTGGAGGCAGAGAGCTTCTTGCTAGAGCAAGGTGTTTAGCCTAGATAAAGAAGATGAGACAAGGTAAAATACAAGTTGAATTGTTTGCTGTTTACTATACA